ACGGACTCTTGTGTTGCGCCCGAAACGTCGTGATTTAGTTGTGTTCATTTATTTTATTTTTAACCTACGTGACTTTACCGAAAAAAACAAAAAGTAGGAATCACCTTGTGATGCCATTCCGCGCTCAGCGTACAGGTTAAAGCGCCTCTAGATTGTATTTGGCCTGTTCCTCCACGCTGGCTAGACGTCTCGGCATATCTGGGAGTAGCCACACTTCAACCAAACTCACACAAGACCTGCCGATTGACTTAACTGAGGCGTGCCCATTTATACCATCGTGCGGACAGAGGCGAGGAGGATTTACGAAACTCGAATCGTTGTTTAAACTGCCCTCGGCGGGAGATCTAATATATTTGAAGGGAAACAAGACGCTCGGCCACTGCTGAACATTTCTTATAAAAAAAAAGTGAACGTGTTGGAGTTGAGCCCTTTGGAACCGCAAGCAATTATTTTTTATCAGTTCGAATGTCAACAGCTGCTGTTAATGAAAATGATTACACTGGTCAACACACTTTTTCTGGCATAAGGTATTCCAACGGTTTCAAGGTAATTTTGGGGTGGTGATTCCAAATCTGGCATCAGTTTTTGTCTATCACATCAGGTTTTTGAGACATCAAATATTGCATTTTCAATAAAAACTGCAGAAAAGAAATATTAAGTAAATGTGGATATCTATATAAAATTTATATTATAAACACACTATCATAAAAATACAGCACCATATTTTAACACTAAAGCAGTCACTGACTCGCAACAACTTGTAATCATAAGTGACAGAGTTAATTTCGGGTAAAATCAATGAAAATGGGGTATGCCGATAGCATAAAAATGAGATGTGATAGAGCAAATCTGAGATCATATTTGGAATCAGCACCCTGAAATTAGTCTAAAACAGCTGCAAAAGTCTAGGCCAGAATTTTTCTTTTTTGTTGACCAGTGTTATTCTTTTTACCTGGCGCGCGATCTCCGTTTAATTACGCTCCGGTATTCCCCCGCGCTCAACCGCAGATTTCATTACGATTTTGAGAGACTTGCTCAGGCCCACCTGTGTGAAACCAAATATCTGATCGAGTCGTGGGCAAGAGTCAGAGACAGGGGGAATGTCAAATGTCCACGCTCATCGCATAGCGCCGCTTGCAAATTCAAATTGTATCGCGTTAGACGGAGTAGATGTGGAGCGTTTTGGCTTAAAATGAAGGAGTGCATTTCAAGTTTTCGCTCCGTGTGTAATTCCAAGCACACTCCTCTCCGTGCTTCTTTGTGCAATTTTATTTTCTATTTTAACACCCAGTAGGAGGAGACTTTCTCGACCAATATTGTCCATAGTGGAGGTTGTTGAGGTTAGGTTGTGCACATATAAATGCGTCGTTAAACCCGCCACCACCCGACACAGCCAATTATTAAAGGTTTGTTACGTTAACAAAACGTGGCAATTCGTTACTAATTTTAGATTTGAAGCTTTCGTGACTGCAAGGATTCATACTCTTTGTTTTTTTTCGGTAAAGTCACGTAGGTAAAAAAATACAATAAATGAAAACAACTAAATTCGTTACTAATTCAGCAAACCGGTGTGTTGGAGAGTAAACCCACTACAACATTTACAATTCGAGTACGATGATTCGTCAGTAATTATAACTAGTATCATCAGGCGACAGCTAGCATCATCACGTTGTGGGTTTACTCTCCAACACACCGGTGTGCTGTACTAGTAACGAATTGGCATGTTCTGTTTACGTGACAAACATTACTTATTGGCTGTGTCGGGTGGTGGTGGGTTTGTCGACACATGTATATTCATGCGATCTAACCCCAAAACGTCTATTATGGATTTTTTTCCCATTTTGTCAGTGTCTGTGTTTTTTTTTTTATCTCCGTGTCGTTGCACTGATTGAGTAAGTGCTTCTTTAGGCGATACCGTTGCAGAGAACAGAGACGATTTATCACCTTTTTACGTTAAAGAAAGCACGTGGCCTTGGACAGAACACACCACCGCAAGGGATGATGGGTGATGGCCAAGACTGGTGATGGAATAGCAGCCAAAGGAGAGAGCGCGTGTGAGAGGTCAGCCGCTGTGGAGATGAAACGAGCACATCGGCTCCTACACAGGACATGGATCCTGGCATCGCAAGTCTGCGAGGGGTGGTCAGAATTGGGGGAGGCCTTCATGCAGCAGTGGATAGACCATGGGTGATGATGATGAATTAATATTTATTGACATTAGGGCTGCGTTAAAGACAGAAGTTTGTTCAGTAACTCACAAGACCTTTAGAATGAGCCATACATGAGGAGGAAATACAATGCAAGCAATGACGCCTGCATTGGGTGGGAATTGGCTCTCACTTGCTTATACAATACAATTTGTTACTACATTACATGGAAATACAGCACTAATCAGCCGTGTGAGTAATAGCAGAACGACTCTTGAGATCGACAAATCGGCCGTGGGAGGTCACTCTTTCTTCTCTGCTGCCCTCTGCTGTTTCTCTGCTGAAACCCAAGACCAAAATCGCATTCGGACCTATCGACCCACACAGGGATGCACACGCACACAGAGACCCATACTCATACAGATATTCAGAGACCCATAGATCCACACAGAGACCCACACAGAGATTCAGAGACTCACATGGAGATCCCACATGTTTCAGTCCAGGTTCAAAACATTCCCCTTTTCCGTTGCCCGTGACTGCCTACTTCTCTTTACAAAAAAACATGCCCGCTGTTTCTGAACAACATGCCTAGAAATCCACATTGGATTGCATCGTATATGCTTTTGCACCCACTCGCAAACAAAGAATGCGTTTAATTTCATAGACTAACGCGGTTGATCGTGCGAACTTTCAGCAACACCATTGCAGAGATGTCTTTAAAGGATGCGTTGTTGTTGTTGATGGTGGTGAGCTCAACTTGAATAACAAGTGATCACTAAATTTCGATTTAAAGCTTTCGTGACTGCAGGGATTCATCTTCTTGGTTCTTTCGGTAAAGTCACGTAGAAGGGAAGTAATAAAATAATAAAAATAAGACAGACCTGGTTTTCACCTGAGGACGGCTGCTTGCGTTGTGGCCGAAACGTCGTGAGAATTATTTTATGTCTTATTTTTATTATTTTATTACTTCCCTTCTACGTGACTTTACCGAAATAACCAAAGAGTATGGATTCCTGCAGTTACAAAAGCTTCAAATCAAGTGCTCACTCTCATCCGTCCACAGCGGGATGAAGACCACCCCAATGTAGCAGTCTCCACTTGGCACGGGCCTGCAACGTAACCACGCACACGCAGGCAGCTCTCGCGGATACGAATTCGGGTTTGTGCCGCGTTTCGTTCGGCAGGACCAATACTTCTGCCGTGGCTGATCATTATTTTAATGCGGCTGGCTCACACGAAATGTACAGGGTGTTTAAAAAAATTAACCCGTAAAAACAAAGTTTTTCACTATAAATCCTTTATATGCGTGGCATCGGTTTTATTTTATTATTCATTTCTGTTTTTCTTGAGTAAGAGTTTCATTTTTATCACATTGGTATTTAAAATTAAATATGAATTTGTTTTTCCTAAAAAGTGGAACATTTTGGAAAAAAAAATTTTCACGACAATAAATTGTCACGCACAACGAGTCTGTGTGCAAAATGTCAGCTCGATTGGATCACGGGAAGTGGGTTAAAAAACGACCGAAAGATTTGCACGGTCGTAAGCGCGCAAGCAAGCAAGCAAGTGAACTTAATATAAAGGATTTAAAAAGATGGACCCGATTTCAAAGCAGTATACTTCACGATGGCAACATGTTACAATTACACAAAAAGTTACAAACGGTTTAATGAGTTACTAAGTTTTCCTAACCATTTTATAAATGGTCTACGTGCCCTCCACCTGCTGTACGGACAACATCGAGACGATAGTTGAATTCGTCCCAAACGCCTCTCAAAGTGTCTTCTTCTTACACTGAAGTCACCGCTGCCGTGATTCTGTTTTGAGGTCATCCAGATTAGTGACGTCACGCGCGGGACACACAGACAGACATTCTTGGCTCCCTAGTGTAGTAGATGGGGGCCGAGGGGGGCGATGGGGGCGGGGGAGCTGTGGGGGCGGGGGGCGGTGGGGGCGGCGGTGGGGGCTGCGGTAGGGGCGGTGGGGGTGGGGGCGGGGCGTAGGGCGACGTGGGCGGGGCGTAGGGCGACGTGGGCGTGGCGTAGGGCGGTGGGGGCGGGGCGTAGGGCGGTGGGGGGCGGGGCGTAGGGCGACGTGGGCGGGGCGTAGGGCGGCGGGGGGCGGGGCGTAGGGCGGCGTGGGCGGGGCGTAGGGCGACGTGGGCGGGGCGTAGGGCGACGGGGGCGGTGCGTAGGGCGATGTGGGCGGGGCGTAGGGCGACGTGGGCGGGGCGTAGGGCGACGTGGGCGGGGCGTAGGGCGACGTGGGCGGGGCGTAGGGCGGTGGGGGCGGGGCGTAGGGCGACGTGGGCGGGGCGTAGGGCGGTGGGGACGGGGCGTAGGGCGGTGGGGGCGGGGCGTAGGGCGGCGGGGGGCGGGGCGTAGGGCGGTGGGGGCGGGGCGTAGGGCGGTGGGGGCGGGGCGAAGGGCGGTGGGGGCGGGGCGTAGGGCGCCGTGGGCGGGGCGTAGGGCGGTGGGGACGGGGCGTAGGGCGGTGGGGGCGGGGCGTAGGGCGGCGGGGGGTGGGGCGTAGGGCGGTGGGGGCGGGGCGTAGGGCGGTGGGGGCGGGGCGTAGGGCCAGTGGGCGGGGCGTAGGGCGGTGGGGGCGGGGCGTAGGGTGGTGGGGGCGGGGCGTAGGGCGGTGGGGGCGGGCCGTAGGGCCAGTGGGCGGGGCGTAGGGCGGTGGGGGCGGGGCGTAGGGTGGTGGGGACGGGGCGTAGGGCGGTGGGGGGCGGGGCGTAGGGTAGTGGGGGGCGGGGCGTAGGGTAGTGGGGGCGGGGCGTAGGGCGGTGGGGGCGGGGCGTAGGGTAGTAGGGGCGGGGCGTAGGGCGGTGGGGGGCGGGGCGTACGGCGCTCCTCCATTTCCTGTTCGTCCGCAGCCATTTGTCTCCTGGCGTGCAGAGCTTCGCTATCGAGTCGTAGGCGGCGATACTCATCGCGTCGAGAGTCGTGCGCTATATCCGGAGCGATGTCTCAGGGCCCACGAGGTGGGTGTTGCAAGTGCCCTGCTGTTCGCAGCGGTTGATTCGTGCGGGACTGCAGAGCGTGGAAACGCCTCTCTACAGGAACTGGTGCAAGGCCTGTTTGACTAGGCCGCAAACTCTAATTGAATTTCCCATTGAATTGAATGCTCCCCCTCCAGCCTCTCCACCGACTTTTCATCGGCATTACTTTTGTATCAATACGTTTGCGCTCACATAGGAATACAGCGCGTGTTCTGTTGTGAGTGCCGCTGTTGACAATATGGTGCTGGGCGGCGTTGCTGTTTGTGATGTCAAGCCACGCCTGCTTAGAGCAACACTCATGAATGCATTGTTGGTCAATGATATCCGCGTGGCCTTACACGCAGAGAACAGTCACCCTGACGGAAGTTTTCACGGCTCGATGAATGAGAAGTGCTCTTTAAAGCTACTCCTTTTGAGAGGGTCGCTTCCTTCGGCCAAGTACAAATTAGCACTAAAGCCGTGGCGAGCGCTGCTAATTCGTTTACAGTACACTGTTGACTTTGTTGTTACGGTGTTTGAAATAGTTTAATACGCTCTTGTTTGCATGCATTCATGGACTTCGATATGTGTGTAATATTATCTCGTGTGCGTGTGTTTATTATGCAAGGTAACGCAAGGGGTCGGCCACAGAGAGGGTGAGTAACTTGATGAAGTTACTGATGCACGTCTTACATTGCATGTGTAGTGAGTGGTGAGGGTGCGTAGCGAGTGGGTTGGTGAGTGAGTGGTGAGTGAGTGTGTGGAGTGAGTTTGTGTGTAGGGGCCGTTTGGGAGTTGGCATTCGGGACCGTTACAGAAGACTGATTTCATTTCCACTGCTTTGCGAGGAGAGTAGTCTTGACCTATTTAATCATGTGCTAGGCTTTGTGAGTCTGTCAGAGCCTCGGAAGTGAGACACTGAACTCCAAATAAAAAATGTTTCAATGTCTACAATTTTTTTTTTCAAAAACAAAGCACCACGTGCCATCAGCTGGTAAAGCATACTGGGTGCTTCACACGTAACACTATCAGTCTATCCATATCTAGCCCTGGAGTGTGTCAACTGTGTGTGGTTTATCTTCTTGGTTCTTTCGGTAAAGTCACGTAGAATGGAAATAATAAAATAATAAAAATAAAACAGAATAAAATAATTCTCACGACGTTTCGGCCACAACGCAAGCAGCCGTCCTCAGGTGAAGAACAGGTCTGTCGAGAAAACCAAGAAGATGAATCCCTGCAGTCACGAAAGCTTTAAATCGAAATGTGTGTGGTTTCTCTTCGTCCTCAGAGGCCCCATGAAGGGTTTTCGGAACCAGTCCGGGGAGCGCTTTCACGGGGGCCCTCTGGACAACCAGGGGGGTGGCCACAGGGGGGCACGGGGAGGCCGAGGCGAACCCTACTTCCAGGGTCGCCAGGGAGATGATCGTGGCTACGGTGGTGGCGGCGTAGGGGGGTACGGGCGGCGGAACGACGGCGATGGAGGACCTCCACGCGGATCGTACGGCAGAGGCCGCGGCGGATACAGCCGTGGTCCTTCTTATCCGGTGAGGGAGATGAAAACATATCCCTGTGATGTTCTGTGGGCCGTGGGTGCCAGACAACTGCGTTGTGTGTGTGGGGGGGGGGGGGGGCCTGGCCAGAGGTCGCAACCGGGCACCTGAAACCCGTACCATACCCGATACCCGGCTACCCGTACCCTACCCTACCCGATACCCGGCTACCCGTACTCGGCCAGGTACGGGTACCTGTTTGCGACCCTGGTGCTGCCGGGTACGGGTAGGCCGTGAGTCACTGGTGAGTAACCGTTTGTCACTCATGTCGGGTAGGGTACCTGTACCCGGCCGGGTACGGGTACCCATTTGCGACCCTGGTGCGGCCGGGTACGGGTAAGGAATCAAAACCCGTTTGCGACCGCTGGGCCTGGCTCCTTCTTACTTGCGTTGTGTTTAGTCGGGGCCGCAGGGCGGGCGACGTCCGGATGGCTCTGAGTATCAGCAGGACGAGTGGCAGGAGTGGAAGCGCCCGTACCCCAACAAGCGGCGAGGCGACGAGTTCGCAGGAGGTCCGCAGAGCAAGGTTCCTCGCTTTGACTACGGGAAAGGTGAGGAAGGGGCTAGGTCACCGCCGTCGCTCAATGTCACTGATTGCCGCCGTCTTGTTTGGTGCCCGGCCGATACCTCCTGAAGGCCTCGCGTTAACGGAAGATGCAGCCCAAGAAGTGAAGAAGCCCCTATTTTGTTTTGTGTCAAAAAAACATTCACAAGTGAATTTTTTTAATCAAATCATCCAGAATGTGCCCAATCTCTTTGACTTGGCTGGTAATGTTGTCACCACTGGCTCAGGAATGAGCACGCAGTTCTGTATGTATGTTGAACTTCATTGCCACCGTTCGTAGACAGCCGTGTTAATCGGAGGTGAGCATTAGCCTATGCTCGTTATCTAATTTAACAATTCTATGTTATGCTGCATTTAGGGAAATGTCTAACCAAATCACCTGAAATGTGACCATTTTCATCTGATCTTGGAAGCTAAGCAGTTGAGCCTGGGTAATGCTTGATGGGTGACTACAATGCATAACACATTTTAGTTTGCTGCATGGCAACATGATTGTCAGCAGAGGGCAATGCGGAAACATCTATTGTTGCTTTGTACTCCCCGCCTTCACCAACCCACACTGACCAGCGTGGTGAAGTATGTTTGGTTAAGTCCCATGACATGCCCGGCACGGGGAGGCCGTCTTCCAACAGTGGCTTGACAAAAGGGTTGCACGTGTCCGTAGCACAAACCCCTCCACCTGCCATCTCCATGTGCCCAAGTCCTTAACTTTGTTTGCTTGAGCTCACACACATTTGTTTTGGCTGTGTATTTCAGAGCTTGAATAGCCACTTTGTCAATGTGTGTTTTCTGCTGAACGCAGGAGCTTGGGCTCAGATGAACAGGGACATCATGCCTCAGTATCAGCACAAAGCGAACCGGTAAGGCTCATGATGGATGGTTGAGAGTAGCAAAAAGTGCAAATGTTAATGTGTGGTGGCAAAGTGTTATTTACGGGGGAGGGGGGGGGACCACGAAAGATGGTGACAACATTTCGATTTAAAGCTTTCGTGACTGCAGGGATTCATGTTCTTGGTTCTTTCGGTAAAGTCACGTAGAAGGGAAACAATAAAAAAATAAAAATAACTAAATTAAATCACGACGTTTCAGAGGCAACACAAGCGTCCGTCATCAGGTGAGGCAACCACAGCAAAAAAACAATTACAGTAGAGGGTTGTCCCACCTGATGACTGAAGCTTGTGTTGCCTCCGAAACGTCGTGATTAAATTTAGTTTTTTTTCACCTACGTGACTTTACCGAAAGAACCAAAGAGTGCAGATTGGCCTATCGACCAATGAGAGCACTATCAATGTAAATACCCGTACAAGATGCCGTCTCATGCCCAATCAGAGCCCAGCAACGTGACTTGGAATGCTGGGAGGCTCTGATTGGTGAGCTGCAAGTGGGCCTTCAATTGTGCACTGGCTGTCTCGGAGTAGGTTCTGGAATCTTAGAGGAAATACCGTCTGACGCTCCGTCCACTACACACAGGTATCTGCAGTTCTGCTCCCTGTGCACGTTCAACACCAACGACGACAAAGAGATGGACGCACACATGGAGAGCCGCGAGCACAAGGCGTCGCTCAAGATGATCGACAAGGGCTTCCCGCAGGAGAAGAAGCTCTCCCTCTATCTGCACGTGCGGTTCACACGGGAGGGGGGCTGCCCGCTATTAACGCGATCGGTGACATGGAGCGGTAGTGGATACAGATTTGTTGGGAGGCGGTTGGCAGAGCTCGGTGGTGATGTTGACATCAGCCGCTGTCGCGTTGAGCGTGGCTTGTTGGGGGGTTTCCTGCCTTGGGAGGGGGAGGATGTGGGGGTTGGCTGCCATATTTATAGGGAACAGAGTCGTCAATCACTACAAAAGCAGTCGATAGAAGTTCTTACATTTTTATTGACTTCATAGAATAATCATCGCAGCTTTAGTTTGGAGATATTAAGAGTATCTATTCCGTTTCAGAACGTTGAGAGTTGCTGGGATGTGCTCGGGATGACCGAGTCTGTGCTCTTGTGCTGGGCATGTTGCGCTTCACCAGGAGAAGATTAAGGTGCTGAACAAGAAAATCGTCATGAAAAAGGAGCAATGGGGGAAGGAGGCGGGGCACGCCTACACACCTATCGATCCTCTCAAAGGTTTGTCCTAATTCAGTGATTTTTCAGGTAATTTTATTTTCCCGTACAGATGCTTGGACAATACCAGCTACCTGTGTGTATGGGTTATTTTTTTTAGCTACGGGAGGAAAATCGGAGAATTCAGGGGGAGAAACCCTTGCAGAACAGTAATGCGCCTGAGTCGGGGATCATACCCAGGTCCTTCTCGCTGTGAGGCCACAAGCGTTACCATTGCCGCCACCCTGACCTCCCGCTCCGCTTTGTTGCTGACCACTTATCCCCCAGAGGTCGCAATCGGGTACCCGATACACGGCTACCCGTACCCGTTTGCGACCCTGGTGCGGCCGGGTACGGTACAGGTAGGCTGTGAGTCACTGGTGAGTAACCGTTTGTCACTCATTTCCCAACGTCTTGTCTCTTCTCACAATTCAAGTTCCTTGAATCAACCCACCCATGCCTGCAACATGGCTTCATCCCAGAGGTCGCAATCGGGTACACGTACCCTACCCGATACCCGGCTGGGTACGGGTAGCCGGGTATCGGGTACCCGTACCCGTTTGCGACCCTGGTGCGGCCGGGTACGGGTAAGGAATCAAAACCCGTTTGCGACCTCTGCCCTCCCCCCAGGTTTCTGGTTTCCAGACTGCATGCTGAGCATGAAGGTGCTGCGCTGCCCCTCGTGCCGCACTTACATCCCTGCCTTCGAGAAGGAGCTGCGCTCTCACCTCGAGTCCGCGCGTCACATCGCCAACGTCAAGGTAAGGGTGGGTGGGTGGGGTGGGTGCCATGATAGCGGGTGCAGCGCCTCCCCTCGAGACAAACCACTCGGAGGGCCGTGTTTTATTGGTGACGGCGCCGCTCTAGCTTGAGCTGCTCGGCCGCTTCGAAAGACGCCACCGTGGAACCCCACGGTGGCTAGATGTTCACGACCTCGCCTGGTATGCAGGAGGTCGCCTGTATATTTTCAGTTTGCGTGTCTCTATGCCCATGGTCGCGGAGGATTTTTCTCTGGGTCCTGACTAAATTGTGTCGGATCTCGGATGCCAAGCGGTGTTTGAACCTGGAGAAGTGCCTCAATAGGAAGACGACCGTGTATGACGGGCCCTATAGGCTGCTGCAGTGCAACGTGGTTGGTAACAGAATGGGTGGGGACAGTAGAGGCTGGTCTCTACTCACGGAATTCCCAAGACCAAATCGCCTGCAAAGGCGCCTGATATCGTCCGATCTCTCAATCTTAAGCATCGTAGGCTGTAACACATTGGTCATAGGCCACAGCGCAACTAGGATGGAAGCGGTTTTCACAAGAAACGAAACGTTGATAAGGAAATGCATGACTTACCCATCACGTGTAAAGCTCTAGCAATTGAAAATTCAATATATTTACGCACGTTACTCAAATCCTTTGCCACAAAATGCCTGCTCTGTTCTAGTAAGTGCAGTTTTATCTTTAAAGTGTAACTACGGGTTTCATTTTAATAATAAAAAAAGTTGCCACCTGTGTACGTGGCTGATCCACACGTCGTGGGCTTGTGTGTGTCGTTTCCTCTCCAAAACTCACAATCAGGCATCTCTGGAGATGAAACTGAACAAAGTCAAGTACATTGCCAAGTGCGTGCTGACCAAACCCAACGACTTCAAGCGGTACGAAAAGTATTTGAAGGTAAGCGTGCCTCCATCCCATGACTGCCGCGTGGTGCTTCGAGCCTTACTGCATGGCAGGCACGGTAGAACAATTACATGTTCACATTTAGTTTCATCTAATTTTTTTTTTACTCAGGAAAGCCTAAAGACTCCTTTTTTTTCGGGACAGGGTCCTGCTAATATTGCGTAAAGGGCGATGTTGTGAGTAATCTGCAGGTAATTTTGTCAGCATTGGGATGTTTGGCCAATAGCGGTTTCACCGCGTGTGTTTATACTTAGCTTATGAGAGGGAAGCAGAGAACCCGGAGGGTGCCCAGCGTAGAACAGGGGGAGAACGTAAACTCCACACAGAAACGCGACCCGGGTTGGTAATCAAACTCAGGTGCAGCTTGCTGTGAGGCACAAGCATTCCCACTGCGCCACCCTGCAGCCCAAAGCAGTCCTGTCCTCGTTGGTGTCGCCCAGGTTCTAAGAAACCCTTCGACCAATTTGACTTTAATAACAGTAAGGCAACTTGAAACTAACCGTTAATTTATAATTGCATAATCTTTACAGGAGTTAACGTGACGCCTCCGCCATAGACACAGTCGGAAAGAGCTTGTGCAGTGGCGCATTCAACGATGTTGAAAAGCGTTACGGAAAGAATCGGTCCGTGATCTCCAAATGGGGGATGGTCCGTTTTCCACAAGTCTTGAAGCTCAGTGGAACTCCCAAGTCAGAGTTGTACAATGGTCCAGTTGTAGTTTTTCATTTTGACACGTTTTCTATTAACTCAGTCTGTCTGTTGTTGTCGTTATTGTATCCTCAAATCTTGTAACTCTATTTTAACCCACTTCCCAATGTGGTATCGACTGAAAACTTGGTATACGTATGTCATACTGATGACAATATTATATTCTATCATAAAAAAAGAAATAAAAAATATTTGTAAATCTTTTTTACATGTTATGTTTCGGCTTGGGTCTAATTGTCCACGCTCAACTCACGTTGGCTGTAAATCACCACGGTCCCCTTACGTTATGGCAAGCTTCAGAGCCACTTCCTGGAGTCGTGGAGTTCTTCCATTACATTTCATTAAAGCGTGTTTTAAAAAAATAAAAAAAAATATTACTTATTTAATGACCACACGCTTTTGTTGCGTGGAACTCTGCGCATTCTGACAAGTCTTGCCCTCTCCCCCCCGCCTCTCTCCGCCACTGGGACGCAGGGGGAAGATGCTTTCTTGGATAACGATGACGAGGAGGGACTGGGCAAGGAGGTGGCATCCGAGACATGGGGCGGTGGGGTCAAGTCGGAAGGCATGAAGAAGTCACAGGGTCCGTCGAAGAAATCGCAGGGCGCGTCCAAAGCGCAGGCCGCGTCCAAGGCGCAGGGCGCTTCCAAAGCGCAGGGTTCGCAGAAGACAGAGGGCAAGTCGGACAAAGAGAGCAGTGCCACTGCCACCTCCTCCTCCGCTACGATCACGACGACGACGACAAAGAGCAGGCCGCAGGCGGTAAAGAAGGAGGCGGATGTCAAGAGCAGGCCGCAGGCGGTGAAGAAGGAGGCGGATGTCAAGAAGCAGAAGTCGGACGTGGGCGGGGAGGAGAAAGAACAGCACGTGGAGAAAGAGGAGAAAGAGCAGAAAGAGGAGCAGGGGGATGAGGAGGAGCAGCGGGAAGGAGGAGAGGAGGGAGAGGGAGATGAGCACGAGGAAGAAGAGGAGCAGGGGGAGGAAGAAGAGGACGAGGACGAGGAGGAGCAGGGTGAAGACGAAGAGGAGGGCGATCACGGGGAGAAGGATCAGGAAGATGAACAAGAGGAGGAGCAGATGGAGGAAGAAGCGGAGGGTGAGGAAGACGATTTAGAGGATTTGGAGGAGGTTGAGGAAGATGCAGCACAGGATGAGGCTTAGGGCCGAGAATCCTGTTGCTCGTGAGGCTTACCGTGGCCACGCCTCGTGCCGCTTCCAAGCGTGGAACAAAACACGGGGGCTGTCAAGTTGCATGGGCCGGTGATCTTCCAGACCGTTTGGCCACCAAGGACGATGCGGGGTCAGAGGTCAACCGTGGCTGCTGACCCAAGAAACTAACTATTTTTTATTTGACCAGGTAAGGCCCCCACTGAGCTATGGAGCTCTTTGTCAGAAGCGACCTGGCCACAAATGATGGCTCAAGAAAGGAGCTTATCTTGTGGAAATTTATAGCAGCCCAAATGCTCAAACACGTGCTCCTAAACAGCGGCTGTGAACGATTTGGTTTGTGTTTCTCGTTAGTTCGGTCTCAAGTTCGGCTGCCGGCCCGGATATTATCGAGTACTTTGCTGAAGCATCCTAAAGGTGGATTTTTTTTAGCGATTGTCAATAAATGTATTTTGTTAAATTGTCATGATTGGCGCACTTCGGTATTATATATATGTTTGGGTTGCGTTCTTTTAACGCTGAACGAAAAATGAAATGTATTTTCCCCGTAATGTCCCATAATATCACCTAAGAAGTAGTTTATGACCGAAAACTTTCTAAACACTTTTGAACGACTTAAGATTTTCATAACTGGACAGGCATTTAAAAACAAACGGCGTACACTATAATTTACTAAACCAGAAGCTTTGTGCAAGCCGTGCAAGCTGATTGGTGTGGGCATGGTGGTTACTGGGAGGGTAAGGACGGGGAATTCGGAGCGCACAGTCCAGAGCCTGGTGGACTGGACAACAACTTGAAGTACCATGAGGTTCTTTGGGTTAGATTGTGTAAAAATAAATGTTAAACACGCCACCACCCGACAGCCAATTAGTAAGGTTTGTCACATAAACAGAACGTGACCAATTCGTTACTAGTACAGCACACCGGTGTATTGGAGATTAAACCCACAACATTTGCAATTGTAGTACGATGTTTCGCCAGTAATTCCAACAAGCATCATCAGGCGACAGAATTGTGGAGAAATCTTGTTTAGTTAAATATTTAAATAATGCCGTTGGTCGCGAAAGCCTGCGTGTCCAGCTTGAACTACGCTTGTTAACAAGTGGTGAGGAAACGCGGTGGCGAGGCACGTGGCCTGGAACGCTATAAAATGCACGCACGGACAAACGACGTAACGTGCATTTAGTGGAGGTATTTTTACTCTTTGGGTCTTACGGTAAAGTCACATCGATAGAAAAATAAAAAAAATCACGTTTTATTTTTCTACGTGATTTTACCGAAAGACCCAAAGAGAATTCCTGCAGTCACGAAAGCTTTAAGTCAAGTAGGTATTGTTTCCCCCCCCCCCCCCCCCCCATCAAAAAATATTTAGAAATGTTTACCGTAGATGTTGGGTACAGCCGCGTACAAGAATAACTAAATTGAGGACTGAACGCCATCGCCGCCCGCCCGACAATTGACAACCGGGCGCCACAGATCGAAAGCAATGGAGGTGTTGGTCTGGCCAATATTTACATTGACCTTGAGTCAGTCCCGCTCTCATCCTCGGACATGGTAAGGTGGACATGCCGAGCACTGGCTATGCCCCGAACAACCTTGTGGCCTGTTCTGCTGTGGTCTGAATTCAAAGGGAGTTGGGAGAATGACGTCACATCCCTGAGAGGGCTGTGTGATTGGTGAATCCGGGGTTTCATCACTAAATGCATAATAAACTATGTAAAACATTGGCGTGCAGTGTACGATTTCTGCATGTACGTGTGATGCCAAAATTGCCTTGTTAGTGTAAGGGAATTCTCATGTGTGCCATTGAGGTCTACATGTAATCATTCAAACGATGTGATGCGGTAAATTAATGTAGGCATGCTAATAATTTGAGCGTGTGCGCCTTTATATATCCCGATTGTCTAAAATATCTAACCGTTTACAATGGATAAAACCAATTATGATTACATCTGCAGGTATGACATGTTGCGGCAGAAAAAACGTGAATTTTATGACGAACGGATTAAAAAGGAATTCATATAGCACCTTAACCAAGAATTAATAATGGTATATGAATGTAATGGGTGGAATCATCGTAAATTGAATTAACGTATTGGGGTACAGCCTGCATCTTTTATATTGAGCAGTTGGTTATAATCAGCACAAACTTCAAGTTGGCCTTGTTTATAAGAGAGTGGTGGAGTTCAGCGTATTAATTCAGTGTAAACTGTGGCTTTGGTGCAGTTTATTTGGCCCCGAGAGCCACTGACTAACTCTATAATGGCGAAGGGAAGTGATTCGGGACTTTGTAACTCGGGGAGGGGGGGGGGGGGTGCCCCCTATGACGAGATTTAGGGAAGCCTTTAATGTCAAGGTGGTCATCCAAATAAGGGCATGCACGTTCACAGGTAGAATGAGCAGGTGGGTGGTGGAGCTCAAGGCAACAGGGAGGCTATCTAGTTTGAAGGGATGAGGTCTTCGAGTTGAGGTGCAAATGAATGGGACAGGGTGTGGTGCTTAGGATCAGGTGAAAAGGGTGGACCCCGTCAGAATGATGGACTCTTTACGGCAAATAGCAGGCACAGGCACACTTGGAAGTTGAGTGAGCGAGTGACTACAGTCGGCTCCTGAGAGAGAGCTGGGTACGTGGGAGATCACTTGTCCAGATGAGGTCATCTCCATGCTGGGTGGTTCTCAACTTCACAGTTGAAGCGCTGTGGAGTTTCTCATTGGTGCCCCATCGCAGCTTCTCCGTGCAGGGTTTAGCGCGCTGCATGCAGACACGGCCCACATGTTTGACCTGAGCAGCCGTGCGGGGGAAACGAACATTTGAGTGCCACCACAAATCATCGCGCTGTTGGACGTACTGGACATGTGAAAAAAAAGCTTTAAAGCTCATCGTATTCCTCCAGTTTTCCATTTTCTGATTTACGGTTGGCTACGGAGAGTGCGAAAGAAGTTAAACATACGCATTGTATGCAGTGCAAGAGCGCCACCTCGTGGCTACTGCTCCAGGTTCAAGGGGAGAGGCACTGCACAGGGCTGACGATGCCAGCACTTCAACCCCACGAGGGCCAGCAGTACCACAGGTGGTAGCTTGCGCCAGTGATGAGTCCCGCAGAGGATACGCGAGTGTAAGCCCTCAGTCTTCGACCGCCACTCCATTCGTTTCAACCACTGGCCATCAACCCCTTTCTACCTTGGATCTTTCGTGACTGCAAGAATTCATATTCTTTGGGTCTTTCGGTAAAGTCACGTAGATGGGTTCAAAGAAAATAACAAAACTATGACGTTTCGATCGCAACACAAGCGGTCGTCATCAGGAACAGCCTCTTAAGTGGCTGTGTTGGTGTGAGAAATTTCACCGAAAATAACATCAGAAGGTAGCAGGATGGGAACATCACAGCCAGTTATGACTTAAACTGGTTGATGACGAAAACAACTAAGATTGGAAGGTCCTCACCAAGCCTGCTTATTTTGATCGGATCCTGTTTTTAAACTCTTAGTGGAATTCCAAGTGTGCATCAATTCCATGCTTGCGAACTTTTCAGTTTTATATTTAGTTCCTTAAAGTCCACATACATGACCCTTGTCATAGGACTAAGCATTAACTAATCAATTTCATTAAAGTGGCTGAAAAAGTATACTTCACAGGGATTAGATTTTTCAGTTTTTATTGTTATTTTAACCTTGGGATGGGAAATCTGCAAAAACTAAACACAGTTAATCATCAGACATTTACAAATTCATTTAAAACTACCACGTGACACTTGCAATTAAAACGGCAAATGGGGGGGGGGGGGGCAGGGGGGGGTAAAGCCAGGTAAATATGGCAGTCTCCACAAAAACACCAGGCAAATAACGACTGTCGCCTCTCCGCTGTGTATATGAATTACATTTTATTTCGGACAATTCGACCTCCCCCATTTCAGGCTCAGTTGGGAGTGGAAGCATTTGTTTAAGCGTGGTGTGAAAAGCTAAAAAAAATGTACTAATAAAAAAAAACTTCATAATTCCCAGCAAGCAAAAAATAACCCTTTGGGGCGAAACTTAAAATTGTACAAAGTGACTCGGACCCAGCACATACCGAATGAAAAGTCAAATGGAAGATGGGAAATGCTTTTATATTAAAAAAATGCAATCATATCTATCAAGAGTTGAATGAAAAGTAACAACAGGGGAAAACAGCCCTCGGTTGGAACAGCTGCACAATCAAGGGCGCTTAATTCACACACTTGCGTTTAAAAATGGCTCTCTAAGCAACGGCCTCAGACCAAGTAACAAAAAACCTTGTCCTTTTTAATAAACCTTCCTTTGGGTGGCATTACATCCTCCGTCACTTAAATATTTTAAAAGATGGACTTTACGAACGTCAATCAAAAGGTTTCACTTTCTATGCCTTTTCCCGATTTTCACAAAAAAACTGACGGCGATCACACATCGCCACGGACACGTGCGTTGCGCGTAAATGATGCTGCACAATCTCCCATCACGGGGTCCTTCGGGGTATCACGAGAAACATGAAAAACAAAGAAGCTAGCCGGCCGTACACCTGCAATACACGGCGATAGAAACACCTACGTTTTCTCAGACGAGAGAGCCCCACTGAAAATAGGTGGAAGCTTTACTTGCCAAAAACACCAACAACCACATTGTGAGAACTGCACGGGGAGGAAGGACGGGGCGGACGCTTGCGGCCGGAGGGCAGCGCACACACACACACACGGCTGCCACGTGCTGCGGAGGAAGTGGCGTCGCCACGGTTGTGACCGTACAACGCTTATTCATGGAGCTCCTCCCCCCCCACCCCCCACGCTTTGAAGCTTAAATACGAGGGGCGAGGGAAGACATAGTTGACAGACTGCCTGACATAACTGCCGCTTTCCGAGGCGATCGCTAAACGAGAAATGGTCCAACGCAACGAACGTACGCACGCCCTCCCCCTCACGACTGCCACAACTGCACTCGGTCACTCGGCCACAGACGTACTCTTTTAAAGTATACAAGCCTTCTGGACAAGGCCACGTGTTGCCCGTCTCCTCTCTCGAGCTTTACACCACCGCGCCACTACTGTGGGCATGGCCAAGTAACTTTACCACTTTTAACGCCCGCGGCGGCGGCGACGAAAGCTCGCGAGAACAAACGCTCGGCACGCGGCCGACCCCGGGAACGCCACGCCAGTGTTAACAAAGTGGCGAGGCAAAAAAAACCTGCACGCTCGGTTTATTCTTGTAAAGTTTCAACCAACTCTGTGCAACACCCCCCCCCCCCCCCCAACTACTTGTGGGCAGCTCCCAGCACCCCGCCCCCCCCCACCGCGAGCGCGCGCCGCCCCCCCCTCCCACTCTCCCCTTACTCATTCCCCTCGTCCTGCCCCTCCATGGCGCTGGCCCCCTCCGCTCCGTTCTCCCCTGGGTCCCCCTCGGTAAAGCCCTCGAGGGCAAAGCCTTCCGCCACCTCCTCGTCGTCGTCGCCGCCGCCGGGCCCCTCTACCTTCTCCCCCGCTTCTTCCTCGTTCGCGCCTCCTTGCTGGTGTTCGCCGGGCTCCCCCGCAGCGGCGCCGTCCTCCTCGGTGGCCGCCCCCCCCTCCTCCTCCTCGCCGCCCTCCTCCATGTGGCTCTCGTCGCCCTCGTCGCCGTGCCCGGCCTCCGCCTCGTCGTCGTCGTCATCCTTGCTCACGTCTTCGTCCACGAAGGGGTCTTCGCCCTGGTCGAGCGGAACGCCGGGAGAAACCGGAGGACGCACGGAATCGAGTTGCCTTATCACACATCTCAGTTGCCTGCAAGCAGGGCAAACCCCAATCCTTTCCCGCCCACCTTGCTCAAGTAAAATGCGACGCTAGAACTTAAACAAATTAAGCGCAGCGTCAAATTGTACGCGATCAAATATTATCGCGACGTCAAACTTATGCCGATCAACTCGCTCCCACTCGAGGTTTTAACTGCACGTGGGCGAGACCTGGAATCGAACAAAGGATCTCAGCGGCTCACAGAAGTGACCCAAGCCACCTGGCAACCTCAAGGGTAATGCTACTTTAAAAGAACCGTTACAATCCTGATAGAACTGTGGTACAGAACATCTTGTAGTGGGGCGAGCTGAATGTCAAATGCCCCTTGTCGGCTTGCGGGAGGGCCTTTTGCTCATAATGGCCTGTGGGCCGCACACACAGACTAGGGTTTAGAGAGGGGGAGGCAGGTACTGGCGCATTTTGGATCTCACCTTCTTGAAGCGCTCGTAGTAGATGGCGTTCTTCTGGCTCGTGACGACCGAGCGTGCAACGTGCACCATGTGCCGCTCGCTCACCTCGGTGTAGCCCTGCCACGGGGGAGGGACGTGGTTTAAATAAGAGTGGGCCATTGCGCGCTCGCATCTCGGGCCATATTTTCCGAGTAACAAAAATGCACACTGCAAATATTCTCAACTGGCATCACATGTGGCAACATCACCCCCGAGAGAGCAGTGAAACTACTGCAGAAACACAGCACCTTCGCTACAATGGCACGAATAAGAAACGTACCAAATAACGATGACGAAAAGCGGGAGACAAGACGCGTGGATGCGTTCGTGCGCGCCCGTTACCTGCTCCGCCTCGATGTGCATCATGGACTGCATGTGGCTTATGACGGGGCCCCGAGCCAGAGGGATGAACATCTTGCAGGCCAAGCATTGCACCACGGTGGCCTTGCGCATGCAGTCAGACAGCTCGATCCCTGGGCAGGGGGGGTAACAGCAAGCAACAACGCGTACGTTTAGAATAGGGGTGAGGAACACTTTTTCCTTACCGGGGGGGGGGGGGGGGGGGCAAACAGCACCTGGCCACGCACAGAGAGCCACCTGGTCACCTCTCATGACCCAACGCTTACTGGAGAAACGCAGGTGGCAGCCGTTAGCGGACTGCACTGCGAGCGGCATCCCGAGTTTGATTTCCAGCCACGGCTAACGTTGGTGACGAGCGATGTCTGAACCAACCGAGACACCCCACCCCTCACCCCTTCCTTTCCCTAACCCACACCAATTGTTTGACCAAACCTCCTCACGCTGGTGAGTACGGGTTGGTGACAGTGGGGATGTTGTTTGACAAAGGTCAGCATGGCACTGGCCTTCACAACCTTGCGGCTGAGAGTTCAAATCCTGGTCGAAGGTTGACTATTCATCAACCCTCGGGGATCGATAAAATGAGCAGCACTTTGTGCGGAGAAGTGAAGGAGAAACTCGCCCTCCAGTCTAGCCACAGGACAGTGAGAGGCGTCGCGAAGCCACAGTCTGAAACGAGCGTATGGCAAAGCGTTCCAGTGTGCATGTGCAGTCCTACCATCCAAGGGATCCTTGAAATTGAATGGAGCGCTGTTGGCCTCCTCCCAAGCCTTCCTGCCAGCGGTAGTTTTCTTCACCTTTCTGAACAAATTCGCCTGGGGAGCAAAACAACACAGCCGACTTAAAAGCCGCGGGCAGAGCGCACCGACACGACACTGCAATGTTTGTCATCCAGCAATCGGCAGAGAAACGCAGCGCCCTACATCGGGGGTTGCGCTTCACACGTGTTGAACTTCTTTCGCACCGTATGTCGCCAACCGTGCTAATCGGAGGTGCGGGAATCCAGCGAAGAAATCGCGCAGTGGAAGGGCTGCTACCTTTATCGTTTACTCGACACCACCGCACCAATCGAAACCACGCGCGCGGGGAAACTCGCCTGCAGGAACGGCGCCACGAACTTGTCCTCGGGGAAGTGCTTCTGGACGATGGCGAGCACCTTCTCATGCTCCTCACCCTCCAGATGCTTGGTGATCTCCTCCTCGTTGCTGCTTGAGTACTTGCACAGCGAGCAGTAGTACTTGAGTCTGCAAGGAGATCGCGGCGCCGTACGTTAGCGCCGTCCACATTAGCAGCGGGCGGCGTCTACCCGCACGCGAAATTAATTTTTTTTTATTTTACCAGGTAATGCCCACTGAGCTTTATAGCTCTTATTCAGAAGTGACCTGGCCACAAACGATAGCTCAACCAAGTGGCTTACTCTAAACGCGTGTTTCTAAGTGTGAAGGGAAAAACTAGAGGACCCGCAGAAAAATCCACGTGACCACACACGGCAAACTACAAATATACAGGCGTCAGGATTTGGGATCGAACCCACGACCTCCTGTATACCAGACAAGGCCGTTAACATCTCGCCACCACAAATTAAGGCAGCAAAATACTCTGCGGGGTGTTAAAAACTACAGCGTTTAGCGCCCCGACTTGATGAAGCGCTCGGCAAAACGTTGAACACCGTGCCGAACACTACACGCTACGGGCCGATAAAACATCACGGACCCTGACAGCACGACCACAAAAACCAATGTACTGAAAGCCTCGGTTGTCAGAGGCAATATTATAATACATGATTTATGTTTTGCTTATGCTACGTAGTGGATCTGGCAAATTCTTTTGCACCAGAGTTTGTACGGATCACAAGTTAATCCTTCCTGGATAATGCTCAACGCTCTCTTGAGCTTTGAGCATTATCAAGTCCCAAGAATTATCAAGGCACCAAAGTGTCGGGTTCTTTGAATTTTTGCTAACTTTGGTGTGTGTGTGTATATGCACCTATGTGAACTAGCCCATTTAGATAACAATCTTGACTTGAAATTTTATTATGAAACTATAATCATTATTTCTGCCAAGCCCGATGATGCCACTATTTCCATTGCGGTACATTTCTGGTAACATATAATTTATATAAAAAAAAAATGTTTATACAGACATAATAGGAACCCAGAAGACTGATGCTCACTTTGTTAAAAAATTCATCAAGATGCATCTTTAAAATAACCTTAGCGAAATGCACTTTTTTTATTTAACAATTTAGAGTTAACAATGAGGCTAAAAATCAAGACCATCGCCCGTCACATTCCTTTACAACAAACGCCGACTGTAGGTAATCCTTTGAAAAACGCTCAAAAGGCACCACCCACCAAGACGATTTTCTGCACGAAATCTTCGCACACGTTTTAGCTCTAACAAAGCGGCCACCTGAACTGCAAAGCTCTGTGCGGTACAGCCACCGCCGATGGAAGCTGTGTGTGTGTTAGAGCAGAGCACCTGCCTGGCTTTTTAATAAACCGGTGACTCACCTCTTGCTTGTTTTCTCCATCATTTTGACCTTGCTGTCTTTTTTCTCTTCATTAGGAAAGCAAAAAAAAAACACAATTTAGGACAGTGTACTTACACGAGCTGAGATTGTAAACATTATAAACTATGAACCTCAAGAAATATGAGAAAGTAAAATCTGAAAAGGTTTTTACAATCAATGTGCGTTGGCTATACATATTGTTCACCAGTGTTTAATACACGGTCATATTGAAACTCGCTCTACGTTGATTTACCGCAAATGATGATTGTGGTTAAACAACAACACTGCAGGTGATAATTTATAACCAACTGGAACTCAAGGAATTGAACGTGAAAATACAAATGTGGGTGCAGGTCTCACTTGTCTTGTCCTTATCGTGCTTAGCCGCCTTCTTTTTGGTACCGCCTTGGTTGAAGTTCTTCCTCTTCAATGCTGGATTCATCATCCAGGGCATGCCTCCCCTCTGTGGAAACTACATTCAGCAACACGTGCCTCAGAACGCGGCGACCAAGATGCACAGCAGCTCCACGCACCAAACACTTCACAAGCGTACCGCGCGCATTTGGTCGGGCGGAAGCCACGCGGGCCTCTAAAAAAACCACGCAACAAAATGCAAACCGTGCATTTTCCATGACTAAACGCAAATATTTAAAATGTTTTAGTAGGTAAGGCCCAATGAGCTCTACAGAACTTTTTCAGAAGTGACCTGGCCACAGATGATAGCTCAACAAAGTGGCTTATCACATGGAAATGTATAGGAGCAAATATAGTCCCCCAAAAGCATGTTTCTAAATGTGGAGGGAAAAACTGGAGAAAAATCCGCGTGATCAAGGGTCATGATCGAACCCATGACTTCCCGTATACCAGGAGAGGTAGTTAGCATCTCGCCACAATGGCCCGGTGGTTTATAATGCATGGTCAAGTGGTTCGGGGGACAAAGTTGTATATGAATCATCAGGTGATCAATTAAAGTGGCTCTGTACGCTCGTGAAGTGTTTGAATACGGTGTACAATTCTGTACATATTTTCAGTTAAATCCTTTGAACAAAAAACAGTGAAGGCCTGTCGAACTGAAATGCAGGGCCTTTTTACACTCACCACCATTTGCACTCATCGTTTTCCATTTTACACAGTGTGCATGATCGCATTCCTCGTGCATTCACACACGCGCGCACGGATAGGTTATCTGTGTATGTGAAATATGCACAATGGTATAAGTTTATCAGAGAGAGCGAGAGTCCCGCAATTAACTCATTAAAAGGCGGCTGAAGCTCAAAGCTGGCAGTGCTGCCAGTGAGCCTGGGCTGGTGGTACTTACGGGACGGCCCGGGAAGGGGTTAAATCCGAACCCTCTCCCCCCGCGGGGGTTTAACATCCCGGGAGGCGGGGGCCACATCCCGCGAGGGCCGCCACGGAAAGGGGGGCCCGGCGGCGTCGGCGGCCCCCCGCGCCTGCCAGGGTGGAACCCCCGGCCGTAGGGACCTTGCCACCCCCCCTGGCAGGGCGGGCCCCCCCACCATCCACCTCCTCCTCCGCCACCCTGGCCCGGCCACTCGGGGCCTTCGTTGGCCCAGCCGCCCTGGCCGCCCGGTGGGCCCCACCAGCCAGACTTGCCTCTGCCGGGGCCGCCACGGCCGCCCGCACCCCGGCCGGACCCCCCTCCTCGACCGCCCAGCCCAACGCGGCCTCCTCCACTGCCACCGTTGCCCCCGGTCATCCCGCGGATGGCACCTCGGCCACCTCTGCTGGGGCTCTCGCGATCGCTGGGGCCAGACGAGAAGCTTGAAGCCCCATAATCCTGCTGCTGCTGCACTTGCTGCTGCACCTGCTGCTGAGACTGCTGCGATTGGCCAAAACTGCTCTGCTGCTGGCCATACTGGCCCTGCTGTGTCCCATACTGGCCAGATTGTGTAAACTGCTCCTGTTGTTGCGGCTGTTGCTGCTGCGTTCCGTACTGGCCGTACTGCTCCGTCTGCCCATACTGGCTGGTCTGCCCATACCCGTAGTTAGAGGAATCAGCCCTGTGGAATGAGAGGAAGAAACAAGTGGAATTACACGACTTTTTAGAGCGATTGTGTAAACGAAAATCGCAGTGCATTGCCAACAAATCCACTGACATTTATTTTGATGTACATTTAAGCACTTGCATTAGGTTTAAAGGTTGGTGAGCTGTGATCACATATGACCAAATCATCCAAAAGCAGGTAATTAAAATCCATCTTGAGCATTTAAGATTCCTCGATGTTTTGTTGAGCCATGAAATGAATTACGAGGAAATGCATTACACGGCCTAACACACAAAAAAACCTACGTGTTAAGTAAAAAATTATGTTTGCAAAGTACCACTTTGTTTTAATTTGAATTTAAGACAACAAAGTCCGCATTGGTGGAGGTATATATGGGTCTTTACTCCTGTACATGTGTTTGCAATAAAATGTCACTGACAATTTTGAAATTACATAACACGGTGCCAAATAAATCAAAACAAACTTTTTGTCTAGAAAAGCATGCTTAAGTGCCCGAAAAAAAGGCTGCCAGGGTCAATAGTGCAAGTACATTTTGTTTTAGTGCAAAACCTGAATCGCAAACAATTTACTCATCAGAAAGGGTGCTACATAAATTCGGAATAGAATATTTATACTTGAATCTGATGAGCTATACAGCTCTTTCACAGATGTCCAGTAAAGGCAGGTTAGAACGTTATGACAATAAACCTGGCCAAAGGCAAGATAGTCAAGTTATGGACTGTTTCCAAGTGGATGTTTAGTGCCACGATTGAGCCTGTTCTGGACCAAAGTCTAAGGGCGCCGTTAATGTAAAATGTCGGCTGTGGCAAGCATACGTGAATATTGATGCAATCGGTGACCGGGGGGGGGGGGGGGGGTGTTGCAATGTAATTTCAGCATGATGGGCATTGTTAAGCAAGGTGCCGAGATTTAGGTATGCTCCCTTATGGGGCAAAAGTGGAGTGATCCAAAATCAGTGTCGTTGAACTACAGACTACAACAGACATGTAGTAGTTATCATGGTCACTTACCCGGTGTGCTGGGTGGGGTAGGCAGAGGTGGCAGCTAGAAAAACAAACAGGTTTGTTAGGCCCCTGCCAATAACCGCAACAACAAAAATGTGTATTTGCAATTGCCAAAGACGCGTTTTAAGACGGAGTTACCATTACGAGTCAAATGATCTGCATGAAAGAACTGCTTCAAGGATGTCAATCAAGTCTTATGAAAAACATTTTAGCCGCTGGTACAAAAACAATGCAACTAACAGGCACTGCACATCTGGTGGCATGCATGAGGGGCTGGTAAGAAACAACACTGCACTAAGCCCATCATGTTATCAAACTGGTCTCTGCAAATACAGCAAGTTCAACGGTGAGGCGACGGTCTAGAAATTGGTCATTGACATGCATCCATCCCAAACGCAGCAAAGTAAATCGTTTTGAGGAGTAAATTAGCCCGTGGAATGGAAAGGAAATTGCATACACTGATCGGCTGGTGTCCCATCAGACTTCAGCATGTTGACCACCTGCATTAAGAGGTTGGCTGCAGTTGAGCTGTTTTGTGCACCTGAACCTGCAGGGCCTTGAGACCCAAACATGAGAAGGGGTGAAGAAAGAAGAGAGGCTATACTCATCGTAAATAAAATGCGCTGCCTCTGTGAATTGCTGGTTATATATGAAATGAACAAGTAATTCAGTGGTGTGTTTCACTACGGAGATGAAAACACTAATGCACTGACCGGCTCTTGCCCTGAACATCAGGATGCCAAGTGAAATTTTTAACAGGCCACACTCTGCTATGTAGACTTGGTGACACAAAAGCCAATCCATTGTTCGCCTGGTTATACGGAATGCAGCTGGGATACATTTATTCAGAAGGTTCGTTGGGCAATAGATAATCTGAATATGGTAATGAAATTCACCAATAATTGTTTGACTCCTTATATCTGCATTTATTTTCCCACGGTGCAAATGGAGTTAAAAGGCTTCATGGAAAAACCTGGCCCTGTGATATTGTAATTTTTTTAGATGCAATGAAACCCTCTACAATTAAAGATCGGCACAAAACAGAAGCTGCCAACTTTTACTGGAGTACAAGATCTCCCCTGTAAAAAAATAACTCTGGTCTCAATGGGCTACATCTGGTCATACATACGCAAACCCTATATCTACAAAATTAACATGCATATTCTACAGTTGCAAGCATGAGACTACACATTAATATGCTATTAAATGTTGCGTATTTAACTGCACTGCCAACATATCCACAACTCCTGCAATATAACACATTACACCCCAGGGCTAGCAATGATGGAAGACAATTCCCAATTCTCTTTGAAAACAAACCTTCACAAAGCTATGTTTGCATCATATTTCATGACAAAAAATACGTAAACTCGAGGTCTTGTTGGGCAAACAGTGGTGTTAATATCTAGAGCATTTATGTATACTCTCGGGTCTTTACAAAGCCATCTCTTGACATAACGCTTGCATGCGTGTTGGCTCGTAATGCTATTGTTGTAGGTATGATGTCGCTAACAATTGGGTCAGGTTCACAATCCCTGCACCTGCTGGATGTGTCCACATGGCAATGAGCCAGCACTTCTGAGCGCAGCAATCCTCGCATGTTATTGATTCGGATGAATGCATCTCGAGTACAACCAATGTGACCAACTCGATCCACGGCGTCGGTCAATAAACAGAGTAAAAAAAACTATTCTGAAAATCCACTTTAGCTTTACCAATGTTTAAAGTTTTTTTTTACAAAATGTGTTCAAAATCTATAGTCAAATGGTTAAACTTAGTTGTAAAAAATAAATGTTTGCCGACCAACTTCTTGTGTTACTTCGTACATCAGTGAAGGCGATAGTTCGGACGTAACTTTGTTCAGAATCGTTAACAAAAAGTGTGTTGCACGTGCAGTATTGCAGTGATTGGCTGAACGTGGCACCACTGGGGACATCATGGCAATGCAATGAACATTCATTCTACATGGAATTTTTTTAAACTTTACGTGTGATGGCATGAGTATGTTTAACAACAGAAAAATGGACATCTACATTTGTAAAGGAAAATGAAACTAACCTTGATTATTTTACTGTTTATTTTATTTGTATCTTATTTAGTGATGTACAACTGCTAAAAGTGTTTGGTTTCTTTGGCAGGCTAAAGGTTCAAGTCCTTGTCTAGATACCTCCTGAGTGAGGCGAGCCGGGCGTCCACGAAAGGGGGTGAATGGGGGAGGGAAGAGAGCCTTCCTAGCCCGTACTCTAAGAATGAATCAAGACGTGCACTGACACTACACCGACTTGGTATTAAAATATAACTGTATAATGCACATGCATATGCAGTACTAATTACATTCCTGCATTTCCCATAAATATGCTAAATTCCTTTTGATATGCAAATTCCTTTGTCAATGCGCCCAGCTTATATATATGCTCCAAGCTCGTGTGCTGTTTCATTCAGACTCTGTCGCCTCGACGGACCTGGTTTTCACCTGAGGACGGCTGCTTGCGTTGTGGCCGAAACGTCGTGAGAATTGTTTTATTATGTTTTATTTTTATTATTTTATTACTTCCCTTCTACGTGACTTTACCGAAAGAACCAAGAAGATGAATATAACTGTTATGAATCAGAACCAATGGAAGTTGTAGCTTTAAACATGAGCTGTTGCACACAGTGCTGAAAGTTAAAAATGTTAAAACTTCGGCTAGTTTAAATTCTACGGACCAATTTTTCGGCTTCTAACTCAATCCCTTCCAAACCACCTAAGCCACAATTCCGACAGCTACGACAACTTTAATGTTACTCGATGCATTGCGACCGATGTCCTGAGGATCATTAATATAGAGACGGCTGCAGAGACTGCATCTTACACACGGCCGGTGTATTTGCGCTTTTTACATTTACCCATGGCACCTGTGTTTGCGGAGGCGTTATCTGCTTGTCCATAACCGTATCCGGCGGTGTTGTAATTGTAACCATCCGTAGGCCTCTCCGAAGAGTAAGCGGGCGCCGCTTGTCTTGAGTCGCCAGAGAACTGGTTATTACTTGTGTTAAATGAATCTAAGGTAGAGGCCGCACCATACAACGAGAGGAATAAGTAAATCGTATATATTAGCCATGCAGATAATATTGAAATACACACCTATAAATACAGATAAGATAGCCGAGACTACTGTCCCCGCATAATTGTGGCAAGAAAAGCAGTCTTAAGTACGTTTCCTAACCGCTCAACCCTACACGTAGACTATATAATTGGTGTTAATACTTTTAACTGAAAACTTGATACAGTAATTTTGCTGTGACGGTTCCACCTGAAGACGGAAGCTTGTGTTGCCTCCGAAAAGGTCGTGATTTAATTTATTATTTTTTTTACCTACGTGACTTTACCGAAAAAACCAGAGAGTATGAATCCTTGCAGTCACGAAAACTTCAAATCGAGAATTATGGAAGGTCTTTGGACAAAAATCTGCTTTATAATTGGCCAAAAAAAATCCATGAGCACCGGTAGCGTTCATACTCCCGTTGCTTTTCCCGCATTTGCGGGCACAGTAGTCAACTTCCTAAACTCTGCACATTACATAAGTACTAATACAGGATAAATATACACACACGTTTCTCAGAGGTGTTTTCAATCCTATCTTTCAACACGTTTCCTGCTCTGCCGTGTGGCGCGCCTCGCACTCGCCGCTCTCCTCCGAACATAACCTCAACTAGAATCCCTTTCAAAGCTGTCCAAGATGCGTGTGTCCCCCCCTCCCCTTTGTCCCACGGTATTCTATTTACCATTTATACATCGTGGCCCGATGGAATTGAAGCTTACCGGTAGACATTTGAAAGCAACGTTTGAGATTTAGCATTTAAAATGCGTTAAATTCACACTTTGGCAAACGTTAGGCCTCGCGCAAGAAGAATGATACGACTTCAGCAATGAGATGTGAAATAATAAAACAATGGAACAACAGCAGAGTACTGCGTTTGGAAACGAATGATAAAAAAGATACAGTTCAATCAATCGCTTCTTAATCGCCCCATCCCAGATGCATTGTTAACGTGACGACCGGATACTCAAATAACGCGGGCTGGGTGGTATTCAAATTCGGGAGCAATATATCTTGCTTGTCCAAAACAATGAGGCGCATCTCATTTGAAAGCTTTTAAACGTCCGGAGCAGATGTATTAAATTACTTCAGAGCCTGTTTTATTGTTTTACACATCTGCGCGGTCAAAAAAAACATTGGTTTCCCCATTGATTGTAACCCGGCGGCCTAGGCACCATCTTAAACACACACACACGTACCGATGCAATTAATAAACCACCACCATCACCACACGACCAATGTTGTATTATAATGCACTTTGATCGTGTGATTTTGTACTATTCGGTTCAAAGTCCAAGGTAATTGCCGATACCAAGGGCGGCCCTGCCGTAGGCCATGACCCCGCGCGGCTCTGTTTAATCGACGTAAAAGTCGCGCTCGTTTCCCTCGCAACTCTCTCTACACGCCTCGCTAGCCCGCTCGCAAAGGCTTACATTGTCGCTGTAAAGTAGCGAAACGTGCATCATTAACGTCGTTCTAAAAAAACGCAATTAAAGGGACGCAACGCGCACAGCCTGAACCAGGCCCAGGCCTCGCATCACCGCGCTCAAACCGACGACATTCACCACGAACGGCGCATAAAAGCGACCAATTTTTTTTTAAACTCTACCGGCATTTAAAAACACTCGTTCTTGCTGAACGCCGATCGGCTTGAAAGACAGTGAATGCGCGGTAGATATATTGTTTGTGTGCGTTTGTACCCTGGTAAGAAAACGACATGATTCGTGCTTTGCCTCGTCCACTCCCGCGAGCAGGAAACGCGCGCGAGACGCCGCTCAAACGCCAGCAAAAGCGAGATTCCGAAACTCAAAACGCCCCCAGGGCAGCGCCGCCACGTGGGCTGGACGATGGTTGCGAGGCGTTGTCCTATGTAAAAGCGCCCGCAAGGCGTTTTGCTTTTTCATTGACGCCACGCTCAATCGCCCCTGGCCGGGATCAACGTGCGTGACTGCGAATCCCCTGCGCGTGCCAATTCAGAGATTTAACCTCTAGACGTAATTTCGTAGCGCGCATAGGTGCCTAATGCTTTACAAAAAAAATGCAATTACATAATTAATGCTGTGCCTGGAAATGCAACCCCGATTTGCCAGGTGTTGACTTGCTCACTTAAAAGTAACACTTCGATTCATTCCATCCAATAACCGTCAGTGTTTTTTGTCATTATAAGACGAATTGATTTTCCGAATCAATGGGGCTCTGAATTTACACGTGGGAGGGAGGGAGGGGGGACCTCTTTTTGTCAACGCGCTGCCGGGCAGAGAGGGCTCTCAACACGTCTTGATGAGTGGTGGTGGGGGTTTCTTTTGACCATACTTCACCGCGCAGGTCACTAGCGAGTTGGTGAAGGCGGGGAGGCAGAGCTGGGGCAGCATGAGAGCTGCTGTCGTAATTTAATTGTCGTTGATGCATATCTCTGCATTATATAATGAACATAAATCTAATCACACAAGCTGTGTTTCGTGGAGACCAGCGGTCGGGAACCTATGGCTCGCGAGCCATATATGGCTCTTCCGGTGACGGCATATGGCTCCCAGACAATTTTGAGTTGAAAAAAAAAATCAGTTTGGAACTAAATTTAAAATACTTGTGATATTACTTAATAATACTGTGTACCAGACTACAAGGTCATCAGCAAAAGCATGCAGCACCAGAAGTTGCATTAAAAGTAAGACACATTTAATTTATTATATGTTAAAAATACTATATGGCTCCCAATGAAATATATTTAGAAATATTTGGCTTTTATGGCTCTCCCAGTCAAAAAGGTTCCCGACTCCTGGTGTAGACAATCCGAGGCTGCCTTCAATTTCACCGACTCTTATCTGGACGCGGTCCTACTAAACCAATGCCATTGCCTAAATGCCTAAAGTAACTATTTGTTTTCCTTCTTAAGATAAATCAATTGTTGGTTTGCACAGTCGCGTGCCCCAGCTTCGGCAACCCACGCTGCCACGGCGTGGTGAGGTATGGTCAAAAGTAGATTGACACGGTGTTTGTGCACTCAGTGGTGACAGCTCAACGGAGGAAGTCGAGGAAGGATGTTAGGAAAGTGGCCAAGTGGCAGTGACTTGCTGCCTTCATTTTAAGTTGGGAAGACGGGGGTTAATGCAGTGGCATGAAGAAAGTTTCAGATTGGGCAGGATGGAGGAAGTTTTAAAACACATTCCTGCGGAGGGAGCTGGTAGGAACGTTGGGTTGCTCGGTCAATGGCCAGGATCAACGGCGGCGTGGTGTATTCCGCAAATATGCCCGACTGTGAGGGCGGGCACAAGTCGGCGTGAGTAGGTTGAACGTTGAGTTTTATAAGGGCACCACGGGGTGACCAGCCCCTCCCCACCCAGCCCCACCCCTCCCACCCCCCACCCAGCCCCTCCCTGCACGACGGACACAATAATCCCTTGTGGGCTGGTGTAACCAGGAGGTTCCTACCAGTACCAAGGGCCTACCATTTTGGAGTTGGCCAAACCTCCAAATATAGGGCCACAGAGCTCGGGCAATTGTTGGCACTGGTTTTGGCCGACTTTCCACTCATCTTTGGTTTTCTACATATTGACTTATTCTGCGCGTTAACGAAAAACTTGCACGCATGAACACGTTCCTTCGGAGTGGGCATGTAGGAACTTGGTTGGACAGCGCGGCGTTCATGCGGGATGGGGTAGTTTGGATGAGTGGGCATGTTGACCCTTCCCCCCCACCCTCCCCGACATCGTCAACCAATCAGTGTTCGGTGGGGAGGTGCATGGGTGGGCGGAATTCCGGATATGCACGACAGACAAATAATCCCTGGTGGGCAGTGTGGAACCTGTTGTTCCTGCCTGTATAACATGTGTGTATTGTGTAGAGGACGAGGGTATCATTTACTGGCTCTCGGCTGCCGAAAATCATCCGGTTAAACGGAACGCTCATGAAACTCAAGTTTAAAGTTGATTTTGTTTAACCAGGTGACTAGCACCTCGGATTAGCACGGTTGGCTATGTACGATGCGAAAGAAGCTCAATTTACAGAACTAAAAAGAGCAGTTTATCTGGAAGAGTGAATTGGGTCACCAGAATGACAAACACAATTGTGTTTCATTCAACAATAATTGAAAGGGCCACTGGTGACAAATTGTAAATTTTAATACAGAGAAGAAGCACCTCTTTATTCGCCCGATTCCACAGACACACACTTAATTTTGACATGTCTTACCAAGTTATTAGCCTCTGACCAAATTATGCCAAATGCACCCGATCAGGTATCAGATGCTCACAGCGCTGAGCCTGGATAGTGCTTGGATAGGCAGCCCACTATGCATAATGGGTGTTACAGGCTGCTGGGCCAAGTGATGGCCACGTTATTAGGCACAGACCCTGTTTTGCACTATTCTAAATGAGGAAGAAATACACTTGGCGTTTTATGCAAGCCCATTTTATTTTATTAGGCAACACTTTCAAATGTCATTTTGTCCACGGAATCCACATTAATGTAACAGTTCCGTAACGTGCATACAAAACAGGTTTTGCAATTCAAGACTTGGAAGGCAAACACCTCTTTCAAAAGAGTGCAACGTTTTGTCCAGTAATTTAACCCTAGGTTAACAAAACCTTAAACTGACCTCACAACATGATATCCAATAGTTCCGTACTTGTATAAAATTAAAACAGCACACTAGAATATTTTCGCAAATAAGATAGATCTATCAAAGATCGGTTAAATTCAATGGCTTATCTTAGCTTAATTACTTAACTAGAAAACTTCACATTTTGAGGCAAGTATAATTTATCTCTTGTTCAAGGCGAACCGATTTTTACGTGACGTATTGTTTTTATTGGCTATGTGCGGTACTGCAGATCAGTGACAGACAAAACGCATCGCCGATGAGCACGGTTGGCGATGTACGGTACGAAAGAAGTTCAACGGACATGCTTAGCAAATGTATGTTTCCACAATGGCTGTGCAGTACATCAACTCCAGATTGTGAATTTAATACGTTTCTAAACATGTAATTTAAACACACACCTTGAGCATGCAAATGACTTGAATGTTCCCCATTCACCAAAATAGGCCAAGGTACACCGATTGTTTTCTTGCACATATCGACGTTGACCAATTTCTCTTGTAGCCCCACCCACCACCCCCACGTTCCATTCCACATTCAGATAAGCCCCTCCCCCCTTAACTTGTATTTAAGGGCTGGTCTTTTGGAATTTTCCTCACTTGATACAGTAATTTTAGCTGTGACGGGCCCACCTGATGACGGAGACTTGTGTTGCCTCCGAAACGTCGTGATTTTTTATTTTATGTTTTATTTCATTTCCATTATTACTTTTATTAACTTAAAATGTAATTTTTTACCTACGTGACTTTACCGAAAATATACCTAACAGTATGAGGCCAAGTAAGTTTCATTGCATTGGTTGACCATTTGTGCTTCATCAATGGAACATGTGAACCTTTCTTAATAAAATTTGAGTGACAGATTAGTGCAAGAAAGGCGTTACGTTTGCAAGTAAATATATAAATTGACGGCGGAGTGGCAAATTGCTCGCTGCTCTGTGAACCCAGTGGCCCGAGCCTGTTTCCCAACCAAGGCTAAAATCAGTGGCGGCCGATATCTGAACTGCTCCTGAGCAAACCCCTTCACCCATCCGCACTGACCAGATTGGTGAAGAATGGTCAAATTACCTCTGTGCTAGACATGGTGTGAAAAGGTCATGTTCATCCAGCGGTGCAACGGTAAAAGGGCTGTAAATGTTATTCTGCTTGTTTACCCAGAAAGCCTCATGACTCCGTTTTCCAGGAGGGCCCTGACAAGTTTCAGAGTAGGGGGTGATGATTGCTATGTAGATTCCAATTTAGTAATTTGTGAGTTATTTTTCATATTTGTGAATTCTGGACTATGACGCCGGCAAACATTGGCCTACTCTTTCAAATGACGTAACGGGATCTTTTAACGTTTACTGTGAAAGAAGACACGTATTTTACGGTTAATATACCCGCAGTATTAATCAGGGCAAACGCGCTACCGGTTGGTCACTCCCTGCAAATACCTAATGGCATAGCTACATGAAGCATAGTCCGTTGCACAACTTACAATGCAAACACAACTACCTGGCTTTTTGTGCATCTGTTTAAGCAAAAAAGACATCTTCTGGCGTGAACAATTTCCAACTATTGTTCAGCAAAACAGTAGCAAATCCCAACTTATCTAGAAGCAGTCCTTCATAAATATACCATTTAACCCTGCAAAACCACAACAGACATGTAAAAACAAGTGGCACACAATCCTACTCCTGCATCAAGCACGTGAAATGACGTACCGTCACCAATTACAAGCGTAGTAGTATTTACACGTTCTTGCAAAATGGTCAGTCGACACTGGTGTATTGCTCGACTCATTTAGCAGCCACGTAGCTCTTACATGGAATTACAAAAAAACACGGGGTCTTGCTGTATGACCCTGTGTCGAATGACCCTGTGTCGAATGACCCCGCGTCGAATGACCCCGTGTCACCGTCACTATCAGACGTGAGCTCTCGTGTTTTGTCTTTTTACGCAAATCTCTCCTTTCAATTGTACCCACTATTTTCGAATAAATAACTTCCCCAACACAACTATGGTTTATGCAGAAGAATCTCCATTGCGAATAAAATGCATTAATCTCAATGGGCTTTTAGTGGATATTCTCATAAGAAAAGTCTGAATTCTATGTGTTGGAATTGAAACTAGACATTATCAGTGTGACATTGAAAGGCTTCCTACCGTTTTTTTAGAGACCAGAAATAAAAAAAGGTACCAAAATTACGAATAACCCCATCAGCTCTCGATTTGATTTAACCTGTTATAAAATCCCACACTCCCCTTAATTCTCACACATTTAGACCCATGTTTGGCAACACATTATTAGCGGCAAGTGTTGTAATAATAAGGGAGCCAAGCAAAGTGACTGCACTTAGTGGTGGCAGGCAGAGTAAATTCATGATTGGGCAAATGACTAAGGTCAAGCCAATTATAATGGGTGTTCGTGAATGTCAATCAACACCTAAAAATCATCCGCTACAGCTTTACAAACATCCTCTATTTTTCATGTGCGCTGGCAGTGGTAAGCAAGCCCAAATAACAAAAACTAATCAAATTCGTCAATAACCCATTGCTTAAAGGAAACATTTAATATACTAGCTGACTTTTGAAAGGACTTGAAGAAGGGCCCTTTCCCAAAACGTCGTCCCTACACCATATATATATTTTCCTTTTAGGGCAGTCATATTAAGAATTGTGTACCTGCATGAACAACAACCGCAGGGATTGGAAACTCGAAGCATTAAGGTCCCAGGCGAAGTCAAACGGCACCCTTGCTGACCACTCAACAGAGCGAGAGAGATAATGGTCCTCTTTCAACTGTACTACTGTGTGTAGGCTGCGAGCTCTTGCGATCACTACCAAACGCCAACACCCATAACGCTGTCACGTACAGTTAACTCTCAATTATCTGTGGGTGGAATATCCGAGTTGCGGGTCAACAGTGCTTGCAAAAAAACCCATACATGAGATATCTTTACACACGCCGGTTCGATTAATTATGAGTCGTTCCCTCACTCATCGAGGGTCAGTGACCCCGGTGCCCACAAACAGGTTGGCAAGTAAACGGGCAACATGTTCGATATCTTCACCCCCATCCTACGTAGTAAGACAAACCATTTGCATAGCCTCCCTTAGCAATTTTTTTGCATTATTCGTTTTTTAGTTTTATCCTGGGCACCCCTCCAAAATTAACCTGGATAATCAAACGGTGGTTATTTTAATCAATCTGCACCAAAGTAAAAGTTGATTCCCTTAACTTTCACAGACCTCGCTCGTTGAACAATAACAATCATCGTATTAAATAGACCTATATAAAAGCGAACGTTGGATGCCGTTACGGGAGCGTTCGAGCGTGGTTATAGCGCAGGACGCGACCGCCGCGAACAGGCAAAACCTGCGCGGGGCGCCCGCTGGCGCCGCGCTACGTGTGCACCCGCTGCCTGGCTTCGAAGAGGCTGCGCACGAGGTAGACCTGCAGCGCCGAGACTCCCATGAGCGCCAGCACGCTGGCCGCCGACCACAGGTTCACGCGCGACAGGTTACTCTCCTGCAGATTGCGGTCGCGCGCCTCGAACGCACGCAGCACCGTCTGGATCTGGTGGCTCCGCGCGAGTCGAGCCTTCACGCTGTTCAGAGACTCCTGCGGAGGGAACGCGGGGCGAGCTGTTAGTGGCGGTGCTGGGCAACACAAGCGACCGTTAAATTTCGATTTAAAGCTTTCGTGACTGCAGGGATTCATCTTCTTGGTTCTTTCGGTAGAGTCACGTAGAAGGGAAATAATACAATAATAAAAAGAAAACATAATAAAATAATTCTCACGACGTTTCGGCCACAACGCAAGCAGCCGTCCTCAGGTGAATAACAGGTCTGTCGAAAAGACAGAGTCTGAATGACAACCCCAGGCTTGGAGCGTCTTCACCTGAGGACGGCCGCTTGTGTTGTGGCCGAAACGTCATGAGAATTATTTTATTATGTTTTATTTTTATTATTTTATTACTTCCCTTCTACGTGACTTTACCGAAAGAACCAAGAAGATGGGAGATATTTTAAAGATCTCCAACAGCTCTTGATTTCACCATTATCACCACCATGTCTTCCGCAGCCAGAGTGACTTGTACGTGTACAGAACGTTCAGAGCTGCCCTGCCCGGTCGCACCTGCAGGTCCTCCAGCTTCATGCCGATGAGGTGGTCGGCTGAGATGGCGTCCATCCACTCGGGCCGTTCCTCCTCGGGTTGCATGTGGTCGAGCAGGATCTCAAAGAAGATCAGCTTCTCCGAGATGTGGCTGAAACTGTTGTCGAAGCAAATCTCATAGTCTCCCTCCTCCTTGACGTCTACGCTGTCAACGGGAGAAAAACAAAACAGAATTATCGTTCGCGAGCATGGATTCCGTGACGCTTTCCAACATGCGTTTGTCGTCGAGTATTTAATTCGCAATAGTAACGACAGCTTCCGAGTCGCACAATGAGCTGACGTCACATGCGATCATCGGGAAGGGAGGCAAAGCATTGTGACGTTATCACCTTGGTCGACCCTTTAAGCGATTGTTTTACTCCCCAAGTCAGGACGAACCTTTTGATAAATTTGGCCGGTTTAATCTTGGGCAGGTTCCTAATAACACAACTTTTTACTGAAGTTATATTTTCTACCCAATCATCTTTACAATAATTACTGGTACCCTCTGTTACGAACAGAAAGAGCATGTAGATAATGCATTAGCGATTTACAGCTTATTTGGAGAGCGTACAAAATGTGGTATTCCCATTTTGTGCACTTGGCTCAGCACAATTTGAGTGACTGGTTGGTTTGAAGTCTGTTTAAACTATAATTCAACCAACTGTGGACTGTGGGTGATAAAAGGTTTAACAACACGAATAAAAATCGCACGATGCTCTAGCAACCCAAGTCATCTTGGTAACCCAGCTCACTTTACTAAGACAATCCTGTTGCCTTGAATTTTCAACTGGTAAAAAAAGAAACGTGAAACTTGAAACTAAAGGTCTTCTTGACCAATGTTTTCCAACAGTATTTGTTCAGACAGGCTTAAAATAAACTCCTATTTGTTTAAGCAGGCACTTAAACAAATACTAATGGATTATAGTAATGTTAATATTAAGCCGTGAAACAGACGCTTGTCCATTTATTACAATGTACAACTTATCATGGGTCTGTAAATCTTCCAATCACTGTCTCTTTGTTTCAATAGCCTCTATGGTATAATTGGCTAAGTACTATCAGTGGCTTTCTATGGAATGGCACTCACCACACTGCTTGTGTCCTAAGTACTGGAGGCTCACAATGATTAGCCCAATGAGATCCCCAATTAGCATGCACAGATCTATGCAGATTCACTTTAATGAGCCACTCATTATGAGACTGGTTAACATTATCAACTTTAACAGCATACACACCGTGAGCAAAGGCAGGGCAGGGTATTAAGCTTAATATTTGCTTTTATAAGGCACTAAATGCTAATAAAAACTCTTCGTCCAAGAATAACATTTTTCATGAACACTTTCAGGAGTGAGGTGGAGCGATAATAAATAATAAAGCTGTGGCGTAGCTATCGAGTGTGCAGGCTGTGTCACCGCACTGGGGCCCTTGCATCAGAAGGGCCCAAGTTCCAAGTGTCCCTTCACATTTAGAATCAACGTGCGTTTACAGTATTCGGCTGCTATGCATTTTCACGCGATGGGCCACTTCGCTGAGCTATCATTTGTGGCCAGGTCGCTTCTGAAAAAGAGCTACGTAGCGCAGTGGGCCTTATCCGGTAACTAAGAAAAACTATCAGGGAGAAAATTGGGACAGGGTTGGCCTCATTTTAAACACATTCCTGCGGAGGGAGCTGGTAGGAACGTTGGGTTGCTCGGTCAATGGCCAGGGTCAACGGCGGCGTGGTGTATTCCGCAAATATGCCCGACTGTGAGGGCGGGCACCAGCCGGCGTGAGTAGGTTAAACGATGAGTTTTATAAGGGCACCTCGGGGTGACCAGCCCCTCTCCACCCAGCCCCTCCCCACCCTCCTCTCCCACCCAGCCCCTCCCTGCACGACGGACACAATAATCCCCTGTGGGCTGGTGTAACCAGGAGGTTACTACCAGTATATTATCCTGGGGCCCATGCCAACCACGCTAACAACCGCTGAGAAAAAATAACCAACTGCTCCTCGTGTAGCCTTTCGAAATGTTGACCGTGTTCAATGACCTCTTAGGAAGAGATGGACGCGGAATATACAACTTGATCAAAAGCAAACATTTTACAAAGGACACCTGTGGACCCCGTCTCCCTGGCGGTGTTCGGCCAAGAGAACGGTTCCGGAGGGCGCCGTGACCGTGAAGTCCACGTCAAGCTCCCCGCCATCGATGACCTGTCCACACCACGGCAGCGAGAACATCGCCAGAGAGGACAGGTGTGGGGGGGTCATCAGCATGGCAGGTGTCCAATGTGAAGACGAAAGGTGGCCAGAAATTTTACTTAAAGTCAAGTCACTGTTGGCAGAAATTGATGCATTATTCAAAGAATGTACTGTATAGTGAACTTCCTTCGCACCGTACGTAGCCAACATTCTGACTCAATGTTGACGATGTTCAAGCGACCTTTTAAACCTGGGCCAGTGTTCAAAATATGTATCGAAGTTGAGACCAAAGTTGTTCAAAGTCATTCTAAATCTGGCCCAACCTCCATAACATGAGCAAAACACCAAAGCTGATGACAATTTGAGCCTCTACTTGGGGGCCAATGTTCGAAACACAGTCCACAAGTTGAGACCAAAGTTATCCTCAATCTTACCCCCCCAAATCGGGACCAATATTCAAACATATAACAGACCACAGTTAGTCCATAAACAGATCTTCAACCGAGCCCAATGTTATTTTTTTTACCAAAGGTTAATCCGAAAACTGGATAACAATGTTCAAAACTTCAGAAAGAGACCAAAGTTGCACAGAATTTCACTCCAACCTTGAATTCCCACGTAAGCACAAAATATCTCGCCAAAAGTTGCCCTCAATTTGGTTCGTAGATTTGGCCCATGACTTGACCGTGATGTGACCCAAAGGTGTCCCCATGCCACGCCGCGTCCCCTCGGGGTCACCTGGTACTCAATCTCCACCACGGCCCCGGGTTTCACGGGCTGGTAGAAGCACTCTCTGTGCCCGGGGGCCAGCGAGAAAGTGAGGTCCGACTCGGGCGCTTGCGGAATCGCTTGGGCTGCCGACATCAGCACCACCACCACCACCGCTACCAGCAGCAGCGGCGGCGACAGCTGCCAGTGAGCCTGCCATGACCCCACCGCCATGGCGAGCTACAAACAACGTCGGCTCCTCTCTCTCGATCGTGGGACGGAGCCGACGAAAGAGACGGACGAATCGGAGAAACGCCACGGGTTTTAATTCTCTAGCGCGCTTAAGCCACCGCGTCTCTACGCTTGTCCATTGAAGGGAATTCAACCGATCGATGCGAGGAGTCACGTGGCGGTTTGGATGATTGCGCAACCGGTACCCCCCCCCCACCCGTGCACACCCCTACAACGTGGATTGGTTGAGTTGAGGGGTGTGACGTAATTGATCCTTCCCCCTCTCCCCCTATTCATTATTATCAGTTACACCGACGTCATATCAACTGTCACGGGGCGCGCGCGCGACACGTGGGAGGAAAGTGGTTGGTGGTTTGACCAATCACGGTTGAGCGCCTATTTCTAGTCACATGACGTCAATAGTGGACGCGCAACAGAGACGTTAAATGACGTCACGGTACATTATTTAAAATGGCCTCAGCCAATCAAATGTGAGGTCGGGCGCATCACGTGATCGCAACGGACTTATAAGAGGAGGCAGCAACGAGGCGCCCATTGTTAAAATTGGCGGCAGGTGAGTTGAGTTGGTGTTGTTACAGGGCAGCAAATTTGACATTTTTTAGTTTAAAAAACAATTACAATCGCGTACTCTCATTTTTCTTACAACTACGATCCTCACGTCGTAGTTTATTTTTTTAAAAGCCGTATACATAACCGCGTGCGTAACATTGTGGACCGCATGTTACGGTGGTGCACGTTACATTTGGTAGAGCGGATCGGTGTAGGCCTTTTACACCGATGGCTGGCCATGTGTTCGCTGTGAGCCGTGGTCAATCCACTGCTGGATGAAGGCCCTTCACACACCCACCCACCCCCATCCGCCGTGTAATCACCGAGCGCAGCTGCGGCTCCATAGTCGCATGCGGGCCTATGGCTCCTCCCCCCCCCCACCCCTCAAGATGAACTAAAAAAAGTGAATGTTAAATATAAATTAACTTTAATGTAATTGATTAAATGTCGGGGAATAGGTCACTACGGAATGTCTTGGTGACAGACTGTACGAGAAAATTGTATTGTCAGAATGTGTTTATCTGCTGTGTATATGTTTCTGTGTACGTATACCCATTAGCTCAGCGCGCTTGCGTGTCTGTGATGCGGCTCTTTAACTATTTTGATCAAAAGATGGAAATAAACTTAAGTTTTATAAAAGCAACGGTTTTATAAACAACTTCGTTTAACTCGCGGTCCAGAAGTTCGTCAATGGCGCCTGAGACACGCGGCGCCTGCGTTCTGTGCGAGCCGATTACACAGTTTAGGGACCGCGGCGTTTTTGACCTACACACAAATATATAAATAATTAATAAGGCGTCCATACAAAAATTGAAATTGCTTGAATGGAGGCAATTACAGTAATTGATTAATTGATTTCGATTTCCATACAGGCAATGCATTGTAAACGGATCTGAGTACGTGTGCAAAATTTTGAATTTGACAACAGGAAGTAGACTAACTTTTGATTACAAGATTTTACCACTACAAACACAAGTGAAGTTGAATAAACTCCTTAAAAAAGGTTTTTTTTCAAGCAACGGTTCTATTTAGAAGTGTTCTAAAAAGTAAATAACTCGATTGAACGGGAAATGGGCGACAACTTAATTACAAGAGACGCAGCGTCTGCTTTCTGTGCAAGCCGATTCCACAGTTTAGGGACCGCGGCGTTTTTGACCTACACAAAAATATAATTAATATGCCGTCCATGAAAATATTGTAATTGCTTGAAAGGAGGCAATTAATTGATTATTTGATGTCGACTTTAATACAGGCTTGCATTGTCACCGGATCTGAGTACGTGTGCAAAATTAGGGATTGATTGGACAACGCCAAGTGGACAAAATTTAGATTACAAGATTTGACCACCTCACAATAGTCAAGTTAAGTAAAACTTTGACTAAAAGCCATTTAATTTTTTGGAATTGACTGATCAACAGAAAGTAGACTAACTTTTGATTACAAGATTAGACCACGACAAGCACAAGTGAAGTTAAATAAAACCATTTGAACCTCATTTGCCAGTAAAAAATATAATTGGTTTTTTACCCTTCTATCTGGCAACAAAACTGACACTTTTTTTTACAAGGAGTCATGTTTGCATAGACCACAATACCTGCAGGCTCTAAGGAAAGCTGTCTCGGGTGTGGACCAATCAACTTCAAGGACAGTGCATACATTATCAGAGGTATGTTTTTGTTTGCATTATGACTGCAGGTATTGTGGTCTATGCAAACATGACTCCTTGTAAAAAAGGTGTCAGTTTTGTTGCCAGATGGAAGGGTAAAAAACCAATTATCTTAACCGTTGAAAAAAAAACCCAACGAAGTGGGTCTCTGCTCTCTTCTTGGAAAGGTTGCCAAGGCCCTGGTGTCAACTAGCGACCACAAGCGACCTTCCTCCCCCCCCATTGCTCCATCTCCACGGCCGAAGTGCCCTGCATTTGTCCCTTAAGAGCCCACATTAGACAACCAAGGATGGCCTCCCACGCGTCAACGTCGTGCACCATTCCTTTCTCTCAGATTAGTTTACGGCCCATGTTGACGGCGTTCCCCTCTTCCTTTGGCTTGCCCGATCGATCAATGGTTGTCAGTCTCGACCCATCTTGACGCGGCCCGCACGAGCCCCCCGACTCTCAATATGCGATGGTGCCATCAAAGCCAATGTCAAGCGGAGCCGTCTCTGCGAGCGTTTTTTTGGCAACGCTGGTTTTCAATTTTTCCTCGAGTGCCCATTGTAGTGACCCTCACGATGTCTCTGCTGGTTTGTCTCGTTCGTGCAGAACGTCTGATACGTTACTTTGTTTTAGATTTGAAGCTTTCGTTACTGTAAGGATCCATACTCTTTGGTTTTTTTGGTAAAGTCACGTAGGTTAAAAAAACCACAAAGCTCTCAACTTGATACAGTAATTTTGCTGTGACGGTTCCACCTGAAGACGGAGGCTTGTGTTGCCTCAAACGTGATTTAATTTATTTGTTTTATTTTTTAACCTACGTGACTTTACCGAAAACACCAAAGAGTACTTTGTATTGTTTGTTGCACTGATTAAAACGTGCCCGGAGATATTCGCTAGGTGGCGTTCGTGTACCGCAATTTGTCGAGCCGTTCTCGTTCAATCCAAGATGAGCACTCATGTCAGATGGCGCAACCGGGTACCCGATACCCGTACCCTACCTGATACCCGGCTACCCGTACCCGGCCGGGTACGGGTACCCGTTTGCGACCCTGGTGCGGCCGGGTACGGGTAGACCATGAGACACTGGTGAGTAACCGTTTGTCACTCATTTCCCAACGTCTTGTCTCTTCTCACAATTCAAGTTCCTAGAATCAACTCACCCGCGCCTGCAACATGGCTTCATCCCAGAGGTCGCAATCAGGTACCCGATACCCGTACCCTACCCGTACCCAGCCGGGTACGGGCAGGGTACGGGTACGGCCGGGTACGGGTACCCGTTTGCGACCCTGGTGCGGCCGGGTACGGGTACGGAATCAAAACCCGTTTGCGACCTCTGACCCACGTACGACCACGTGCGCGCACACACAGTATAGTTTACACATTCCATCAGCCTCGCAGCTTCCTGGGAAGTGCTTCTTGGTAGCCGCGTTGGATTCAATGCAAGGTCACTTTTTGGTGACCCTGATCACTTGCCATTGAGATTTTCCTGACTTATTGGGTCCTCGCTTGGTTAAACAAAATTAACTTAAACTCATGCCCGGGTTTTTACTTTCAATGTCTAATGTGCAGTTAGGGTTGTTAAACAAATGAGGCTGGATGCTGTTAAATTAGAAAGCCATCCTTAAAAAGGAGTCGTACTTTTTCCCCTCCATCCAATTTTTAAGATTATTTTGGTGAACCAGATCGCATTTGCAAGCGTGACCTGGATCCGTGTGATTGTGAGCTTCAATCAATGTGAATTTGTGAATCTGAACTCCCTTGATGCGCGTGATTTATCCCTATCGGATCTTTTTACTGCACGTCTTTAGGCGGTCTCGTTTGCTCCGTTAGTTTAAAAACTAAGCATATAATTTGCACGATTAAACGTGTTTCTCTTGAGCGTAGAGAATGGATTTGGATGAAGAAATCAATTGCACGTCTCTTGCTAATTATTGAGGGAGCCTCGCTTTGCACTATTGAAATGAATTGATGTTATGCGAGCTTATTGTGTTAGAAACGTGCTTGTGGTGATTAATTTAACATGCTTTTTTTGGATTTAATAAAGTGCCAGACGGTGTCGCGTCTTGTTTCAATGCGTGTAATTTTAACATTGTATGATGGTTTAAGCAATGTCTGTTTAATGTTCTTGGGTATGAACAACGAGGGCGCAAACGTGTTCTTTGCTAGGGGAATACGTTTATACGTTTTAATTAACAGTACTTGACATCAGCTACTCAGAAAGTCAACTCGTTTATTAAGGCTTAATTACAAACAACACTGTTATGCAGTAGTTGCGACTTTTTATACAAAAAATCCTCTACGGTTCCTTGATAATAATGCCAATTATTTACCAAAGAAATCTTCACTGAGACTTGAAGGTCCATGACATTAATTAGTGTTTGGTCTCTTGCGTTTGAAGAACAGGAGAACGTGGATAAAACCCACACGTGTGAGGGGTTAATGGTCCTGTCATCTGGCGGGTTTGCATTAAAACGCCTACAGTACCAAGCCTCGTGGTCACCCATCAAAGTAGTAAATAACCCAAGCTGAAGCCTGATTTGCTTCAGGGGGAACAAAACTGACCAGTGATTTTTTGTCACGGGCAAAAATGAAACTATAAAGATCCTAAAACCACCAAAGATGGAATCAGGAAATTGCACAACCGTAATTGTAAGTGTGTGGTTATTTGCCTTGCTTGGGCCAGGCATTTTGTTGTTTGGCTACATTTTCCTTGTCCACTGAGCAAATAAGGTTTTCCGTAATAGCGAGTCAAATTGTATTTCCAATACACTGCTGGTGTGTTTGCCGACGTACAGCATGAATTGGAGGTCTGTTATGGCGACTAAACTTAGAGCAAACCAGAATTGCAAAGGGAGAAAACACGCGATGAATCATAAATTGCATATGCGCTTCATTGTTGGCCGCATCAACACTGATCAGTGGCTTTTGGCGCGACATTGCAAGCAGCTGGACTGGACGACGCTCGAAAGAGACTGCAGATCGTGAATGAATGGTGGAGAGTGTCGCGCGTGCACATCAACCCTCCGATATTTTGGGATGGGGCCCCTTCTGATTGCGATGATTGTGGGGGGTGCCCGCAATTGGGAGTTACCGCTTCTGCACAGAGAATTGGCCGGCGCTCTTCTCCCATGAGCCGGACCGCACCGCGTGCAGATAGAGCAGCTCCGCTTGGTGCGGGGGAGAATGGGCCGAGGCTTGGCTGCCAGAGAACGGCAGATAGGTGCAATACCCTTCTCACAACGTTCACGTTGGCATCCAGCAGAATATTCTTCGGAAGCAGAAACCGGCCCAGATGTATTGCACTAAAGCGCACTTGTTTTTTTTTGTGGGGAGTTCATAATTCGGCTTGTTTAAGGTGAGATGTTGGTGCATGGGTTTCCATTGTTGGTTTATCTGTAAGCGAGTTTAATCGTGAGCGTGTGGCTGTAGTTTGTGCTTCCGCAGATCTCTTACGGCCGCTTGAACTCCTGCCCAGACGGGAGCCAGGGTTGGTGACCCGCGGATGAATGCCGTGCGTGTGCACCGTTTGTACCCTGAGCTTATCAGAGCGCAGGACACAGCAACGTTACAGGGGGTGCAAATTGTGTGGAGAAACACAGTTTTGTTCTCCCAGATACTGACCCCATACAAGCCAGTGCTGTTACAATCCACATGGAGCCTCACATGGTCGCTTTATTTTCGAACACTTGTGCACTCTTAGATTTATTTATGGACCGAGTTATGTAGATAACTCGTTCCACAATTCGGCGGGTCAAAGTTGTGCACCAGGATATAAGAGACTTGTGAATGTGATGATGGTGCATTCCGAGTGGTTGGGTCCTGGGATTTCCCAAAGAGGCTATAGTGCACGCTCTGTTTTTCATGCAATTTCTGTCATTGGTGAGACCCAACACACATGTTACCAGTGTAGTGCTGCTCAACAGTGGCACGGAACCATGAAGGGGCAATTCACATGAATGTGGACAATGGAATAAATCTTCCCCTAACACTGCCTCAATGGTTTAGTGTTGCGAGATGGTGAAACGCTGCCGCTCACAAGCGCCGTATTGTTTCTGCGCGTGGCGATGTCGCGTATCCGTTGAGAGTTCTGGCGAGACGCTGCGATTTTATGCCCCTCGTGCGTATCCCGGGGCATGCGTTTGGTTCAATAACCGATTTATTACGATAACACTGGTCAACACACTTTTTCTGGCATAAGGTATTCCAACGGTTTCAAGGTAATTTTGAGGTGCTGATTCCAAATCTGGCATCAGTTTTTGTCTATCACATCAGGTTTTTGAGATATCAAATATTGCATTTTCCATAAAAACTGCAGAAGAAAAATATTAAATAAATGTGGATATCTACATAAAATGATACTATAAACACTCCTAAAAATACAGCACCATATTTTAACACTAAAGCAGTCACTGACTCGCAACAACTTGCAATCATAAATGACCGAGTTAATTTCGGGTAAAATCAGTGAAAATGAGGTATGCCGATAGCATGAAAATGAGATGTGATAGAGCAAATCTGAGATCAGATTTGGAATCAGCACCCTGAAATTAGTCTAAAACAGCTGCAAAAGTCCAGGCCAGAATTTTTTTGTTGACCAGTGTAATGGGTGCTTGCGTACTTGGTACACAACGCATGCTGTGTATCGGCACAGAAGGCCACTTAATGTTCCATACAAATGAAAGAGTTTCTCTATTTTATACAAAGTCGAACTGCAGTGTAGGCCTTCACGAGGGTGCCGCTATAAATAAGTCCAGGAGTAAGCTTAACAGATGCACTGTCAGGTTAACAAAATCCAAACCATGCAATGCAATTTATTTATGCAGGAATTCCGTTTATTTATGCTGGAGAGTAAAGTCTAATGTAAAATAAACTTTAGATGAAAGTAATGGTGTGTTTGTTTGAACATCATTCTATATTAAGCTTTTTTTTGGTGAGCAATGCTGACTCTCCCCCCCTCTCTCCCCGCCATCTCGCAACCCTACGGCAATAAAACATTTAACCGAGTAATGTGCACACGGACAACTCCAGTTTGCTGGATGGGGGCCCGCTGCAGACTCCCTCGGCGGTGTTTTGACCATACTTCACTGGTTCGGTGCAGCGTCGCGAATGCACGGACAAGAAGTGAGAGCGTGGAAGTGCAATGCAGAGATAGATTGTGCCGCTCCATCCTCATGCCGAGCCTGCCACGTCGCCCGATCGCAACCTGTTCGCGCACAGTGATCGCCCACCCCAAGCGCTGCAAACTTGAAGCCTGCGGTCCGATGTTGGGTGCGTTGCACGTACTATGGACAATCCGCGAGTCAATGGAATGCATGTACAAAATAGTTTGTGACATGAGCTAAGGAGCATAGGCTACTGCGCGTCTCCGTCGTCCGATTAGCACGGTTGGCAAAGTGTTCGGTGCAAAAGAAGTTCCAACAGTGTCGCTCCTGAGCCGGTGGTGATGACATTACCAGGGCAACAACCCAGTCTAAAAAAATTAACCCGTGAAAACAAAGTTTTTCACTATACTGTACGCTGTAAATCCTTTATATGCGTGGCGGCTAGAGTCCTCTCGTCCTCTGGCTTGAGATGGCTGCCACCTATGGGTCAGATGATTGCCTGCCACCATTAAGCAATTGGTAATTAAATATAATTTATTTTTTCCTAAAAAGTGTAACATTTTGGAACAAAAATTTTCACGAAAATAAATTGTCACGCACAACGAGTCTGCAAAATGTCAGCTCGATTGGATCACGGGAAGTGGGTTAAAAAACGACCGAAATATTTGCACGGTCGTAAGCGCGCAAGCAAGTGAACTTAATATAAATGATCTAAAAATACAGCAACTGTTGACTTTGCGCTTCGGGTGAGTTGATCAAGCGAAACGTTTCTGTAGAGCTTGGTGGGCGAGAGCAGTGGACGGCTTCACGAGTAGCTTCGCGAATACCTGAATGATCTCCGTTGAGTGCAGTGGCGTTACATCGTCGTCGTCCATGCGTTGACATGTATAGAGTCGTGCGGGGGGGGGGGGGGGGGAGGCTTCAGACTCGTGTGCACTCTGGGCTCTTGTCTAACGCTGTACCAGATGGTCAGCCGCATCTGCCGTGCGATGTTCCTCTCGTGCGACTCGGTACAGACCATTGTTTACGGTGTCACTCAGTTTGACTGACATACCCCCTCCCTCCCTCCACCTCCCATAAAGAAACAATGAGCTGAATTGACAGGCATTTGAAACTCGCTCATCGCGTGTGCTCGCCTATTCTGGCTGTTGAATTTTAAATAAACAAGATCCTCGTGACCATCCCGACAACGATCGAGGAGGAGGGGTCCCTTTGTTGGACCACTTGAGGCCATGCAGTTGTTTGCTCATTCACTGTGGAAAGCGCCCTTCAAGACTCTACTCACGATAATAGTTTTTTTTAAATCCTTTATATTAAGTTCGCTTGCTTGCTTGCGTGCTTGCTTGCTTGCTTACGACCGTGCAAATCTTTCGGTCGTTTTTTAACCCACTTTCCGTGATCCAATCGAGCTGACATTTTGCACACAGACTCGTTGTGCGAGACAATTAGGGAAAACAAATTAAATATTTAATTACCAATTGCTTAATACTGGCAGACAATCATCTGACCCATAGGTGGCAGCCATCTCAAGCCAGAGGACGAGAAGACTCTAGCCGCCACGCATATAAAGGATTTATAGTGAAAAACTTTGTTTTTACGGGTTTACTTGTTTACCCTTGTAGCTGGCAACAAAACTGACACCTTTTTTTACAAGGAGTCATGTTTGCATAGACCACAATACCTGCAGTCATAATGCAAACAAAAAAGGTGTCCGTTTTGTTGCCAGCGAGAAGGGTAAAAAAACAATTATATTTTTTACTGGCAAATGAAGTTCCAATGGTCACTTTACTCACGTTGTGCAGCTGGGTTCACAGAGGTGTGGGGACTGAGACGCCCACGGTTTCATTTTCCATGCCGGGACGATTTACTAAAATCAAACCAGCGATCAACCGAGATTTCAAGACACAGGCGTGCGTGTCGTTCATGGCAGTGGTGCGCGGTACGAGGTTTGAAAAGCACGGCTCGGGAGACAAGGCGTTGGGGGTGGACACGTGGCGACAACGTTCAAATACATATGTAATGAATTAACCAAACATTACTCGGTGCAGATAACGTGGCATTTGAGTGCACTGCTAATGTTGCATTATCACACCGGGTAGACGCGCACTGCAGAGACACTGGGCAGATAAGTGGAAATGTCACGGGGTGTTTTGACAGATGGGGCCCAGTCCCACTGAACGTCGCTTTGTCTGGCAGTGCTTTATTTAATGTTTAAAAAGTCAAGAAATTGATATTAGATGTGTTTCTTTTTTACAGTTGAAAATAAATAAATTCAGATTTCACAAAGTTGTTTTTCTTTCAAGACTTGCGTGTCATGCTTAATGGTGGTTTTGGAATGCAATAATTTACATTTATTGTTCTTTATCACAGAGTGGGTGGATGTCAAATCCAATTTGTGTTACTTCCTACAGCGAAGATGTAAAGATAATAGTCCCTACTTTATTATTCCTGTTCAAAAGTTTGCTTTGTCAAATGGGGTATCTATTTTACAAAAATACACGGGGAATGTCAACTCTCTTCCTGCCTCGTTGAACAAAGTCCGTCATTGTCCCTCCAGTCAAATGAGCGCAGAGCACGTGGTGGCCACTCCACATTCCCATGGTGAGGTCCGGTCTACATTGTGCAACCTAGTGCAATTGTGGGATGGTGTCGGGTAGGCATCTTGGAGAAGTCCCCCCCCCCCCCCTCATTCGCATCGAGTGTTAATGTTGACGTTAAGTATGCCTGCTGGAGGTATGAATGTTGAACTTCTTTTGCACCGTGCATAGCCAGCCGTGATAATCACGTGCGGTGGTGGGACTACAAGCTAAACACACAAAGCAGTTCCAAAGAAATGCGTTTTCAGTCCAGATGTAGAAGTGCATCATAGCTCCAATGGCTTCCTAATATCGGAAGGAAGAGCGTTCCAGACGGCCGCAGGAGCGCATCTGAAAGCGCCGTGCGATGCGGTGGCCACCGCCTTTGTTCGAAGTCTGCAGCCAAAAGCCGCCGCCGCTGCTGCTGCTTCGAGGATGAGTGATGCTCGAGAGAGAACCACTCATGAGCAGCGGGGAACCGCGGAGGACGGACAACACGCTTCTGCAACCGTGTGGACCGAGAGGCACAGTGCGACGCATCTTGTGCAGATGTTTTTCGAGAATAAAACGGAACCCCAATGGCGGTGTGCGTGGCCGCTCCCCGGGTTCACTGGCTCACGATCTTTTGAAACAATGTGAACGTGCAGCGAACAATCTTGACGTGAGCTCTGCAGTTTGTCAGTGCTACACGACCGCTCTTGCCTTTCCATGATGTGGTGGTACACTCATATTCTTGGGTCTTTCGGTAAAGTTCATAGGTGAACCTATCTACGGGAAATTTCGATTTAAAGCTTTCGTGACTGCAGGGATTCATCTTCTTGGTTCTTTCGGTAAAGTCACGTAGAAGGGAAATAATACAAATATAACAAAATACAATTCTCACGACGTTTCGGCCACAACGCAAGCAGCCGTCCTCAGGTGAAGAACAGGTCTGTCGGAAAGACTGCCATTCGGACGCTGTCTTTCCGACAGCCCTGTTCTTCACCTGAGGACGGCCGAAACGTCGTGAGAATTGTATTTGATCATGTTTATTATTTCCTATGTACGTGACTTTACCGAAAGACCCAATAATATGAATTCCTGCAGTCACGAAAGCTTTTGAGTCAAGTGGTAGACGCATTTGATCACAATGGTCATTGTAGCAATGCAATGAGAGGCATCATACAAATAAAAATAGCTATTTTAACAAATAAATCAATGTGCATGGCCGTACTAAAGTGCAAACTCGGGAGTTATCTTCGGAAGTCAACAGCCAGTACAGAAGCCGACGGGAAAGCCATCGGGGCGAAGCGAATTCGCAAGTCATCTTCTTCGTTCTTTCGGTAAAGTCACGTAGAAGGGAAGTAATAAAATAATAAAAATAAAACATAATAAAATAATATATTATAATAATATAAATAAAACATAATAAAATAATATAATAATATATTATAATAATTATTTTATTATGTTTTATTTTTATTATTTTATTACTTCCCTTCTACGTGACTTTACCGAAAGAACCAAGAAGATGAATCCCTGCAGTCACGAAAGCTTTACATCGGGATTCGCAAGTCTTCATCTTTGCTCTGGTTTGTGTCTCCCAAGTTTTAGCCAATGCAGTACTTGAATCAATTTGGCCAGTTTTTAAGAGGATAAGTGCCTCGTAGCAACACCGCTTTGTAATTTACTTTTGTTCGCATCAAATCGTCTTTACAATAATTACCGAGCATTAAGGAGGTGCTTATCGGCTTACAGCCATGAGCAAGTGGTGAACATTCTGCAATCCTCTGGCAGGGGCGAGTCGTCCAATGCTGACTACCAAATGCATAAACGCTGTTGGCCTTGGCTGTAAAGCGTTTGAGGTTTAACAATGAGGGGCATGAAGACCAAGAGTGTTGGGTTGTTGGGATAGAAGCCGCATGGTGCGTGCGAGTGGCAGTGGGATAGGTGGTGGTGGTGGTTGTAGCGGTTAGCGCATTGTGTTCGGAACCCGGCGTCCTGAGTTCGATTCCTGCTCACGGCCAATACCAGTGACGATTTTATGAACCGGTCCTGGGCCTCCTCCCCTAGGTTGACTCAGCCTCAAATCAGTACCTGGATCGGTGTGTAAACGTCGCCACTAGGGAGACAAAGGCGGCCGGGCGTGGTGCTAGCTACTCACCCCCTCGTGCAATTCCGGCCTTCATAGGTACTCGCGAACAGCACTTGCCGCAACAGTATGTTAAG